CGAACCCGCTCAGCAAGGACTACACCCCAGGTGGCTCCACTGGAGGCGAAGCGGCCCTGCTCGCAACCCAAGCATCCATGCTGGGATGGGGTACTGACATCGGAGGCAGCATTCGCATTCCGTCTCATATGAATGGGACCTATGGGTTCAAGCCAAGCGTAAGTCAAGAATTTCTGTTCTTAACGAGCCTCGTCGACCTTTCAATTTCACGTTACTGTGAGAGTCTCAGCTGACCAACGATTAAGAGCGCTCGACTGCCTTACCGTGGCGTCCCTGTCTCGACCGAGGGCCAGGAACATGTTCCGTCATCAATCGGACCGATGGCTCGTAGCTTGAGCACCATACAAATGACGATGAAACATCTGATCAATGAGAAGCCCTGGGAAATGGACTCGCGCTGTGTCCCAATTCCTTGGCGGGAAGATGTCTATCAAGAAACCTTGTCTCGCCCCTTGACGATCGGGGTGCTGTTTGATGACAACGTCGTCAGGCCTCATCCGCCCTTGACACGTGTCCTTCGATCTGCCGTTGAGTCCCTTCGGGCAGCTGGACATGAAGTGTTGGAATGGAACGCCGACTTGCATGAAGACTGCATTCGAGTCATGGTAAGCAGAAGTCTTCAGAGAACCTCTAGTTTGTGATGGATGCTAACTAGAATGAAGGACTTATACTACACCGCCGACGGCTGCGAGGACATTCGCAAAGACGTAATCGCCGGAGGCGAACCCTTCATCCCTCATGTCGAGCGTCTGATCAACCGCGGAAAGGCGATCTCCGTCTACGACTACTGGCAACTCAACAGGCGCAAGTGGGACATGCAACAGGCTTACATGGAAAAATGGAGGTCCATTCGGTCGCCTACGACTGGTCGCGCGGTCGACATTCTTCTGATGCCTCCGATGCCCCATAGCGCCGTGCCCCATGCCGGATGCCGCTGGGTTGGATATACCAAGGTTTGGAATTTCTTGGACTATCCGGCACTTGTGATTCGTGGGGGCAAGGTTTCTCAAGACGATCTAAGCGAGCCGTGGACGTATGAGACCAGGGGACCGGAGGATGAGTGGAACAAGAAGCTTTGGGAGGACAATGGCAAGGAAATGGCAACTCTGGGATTACCGGTTGGACTGCAGATAGTTGGTCGCAAATTGGAGGAGGAGACTGTCTTGGCTGCTGGCAAGATCATAGATGATTTGATACAAGCGGCTTAGAGTTTCGCTGCCTCGCGGTAAATAGATGCATGATTGTCAACCCTCCAGGTATAACTGAATGGCGGAACTATTAATATGCCTTGGGAAATGTGATTTTGGTATCCACATGAGACTAGTAACATTATGATGTATGGAATATCCAGGTATTCATCTATTGGATTGCAAGTCTTACCCGACAATCGTGCGAGACTCAGTGGACGGACGACTTGACCAAGACCATGAGATTCCTTAAAGCAGCAACACTAATCAGAACACTCTGCATATTTGGACACTCTGGATATGTATTTGATGTCATTCATTTCATTAGCTGCAGTTATATTTACTACTAGGTATTGTCAACAGGCCAAGGGCCAAGTCTACGCCTGTGTCTTCTTCCACTCCTCGTACTTCTTCATGACTTCTTCCCTGCTCGCCGGCATCAAACCACCTTCGGGTACTGGGTTCTTAGATTTGAACCAGTCGCTCATCTGAGGTGGTGTTAGATCCCCCGCTTACTATGATGTGGCTTGTGATGACAGGGGGCGACTTACCTCTCCCATTGTGACCCACTCAACACCCTCGTGCTTGTTGATGTGCTCGATAATGCGCTCGTGCATCAAGAGAACATGCGGCCTGCCTGAAACATCGGGGTGGATCGTCATCGGGAAGATGAACTCGTCTTTTGCCGCCAATCAGCATCAACATAGTCTTTCTTTAGTAGGAGTGGAGCCTACCATATTCTCTGTAGAAGTAGTCGAAATGGTCCCGCCAAATGTCTTCGACATCCCTACACAGCGTGGTCAGCCAAATAATTACGGACCTCCAGGAACTTCTCGGACTTACCTCGGGTTCACCCAACCGTGCGAGTTGGCCGAGTTCTTCATGAACATCATGGGGGGCAAATCGTCGATGTACCAAGAACCTGGGATCTCAACCAGGCCCGTCTCCTTACCCTTCACAAGAGGCTTCATCCACTCCTCGGCCTTCTTGGTATAATCAATCTTGGTCCAGGTGTCTCCCGTGCGCAACCAATACGCCTGACAGTCATGATGGGACATTGAGTGGTCATACTCAATACCGTAGCTGAGCAACAGCTCGGTTCCCTCCTCGCTGGTCTCCCACCAAGGGGCAACGCTGCCCTTGGGCGGCTTGCCACCGCAGAACTCAGTCAGCATCTTCCACGTCTTGTCAAGGACGTCTCGCTGCTGCTCAAGGGTCATGTCGACAGGGTTCTCGTGGCTGTACCCATGCAGACCAATCTCATGGCCTGCATCGCGCACCATGGCGCACTCCTCTGGGAACGTCTCCAGCGTGTGGCCGGGGATGAACCATGACGCCTTGATGTTGTACTTCTCGAAAAGGGAAAGCAGCCGGCGCGTGCCAATGGTTCCAGCCCATAATCCTACACGACCATTCGCAGTCAACATGTGTCCGCCAGGTGGAGAGACCGCCATGGCAAGAGTAATGAAGAGATGACCTACCTCTGCTGATGTCGCTGGTGCTGTCCTCGCCACCGTAAGAGCCTAGCCATCCGGCGACAGCATCAATATCCACACCATAACTAACAAGATCATGTCAGATGAATGAACCACTCCATGCGTTGCATTTTCCCTTACCATACGAGAACCTTCTTCTTGCCCATTGTGTCGAATTGTAAACGTGAAAGTGTTTGGAATGATGATTTGTAATGCAAATTCTGCTTCTGGAAGATAGGCTTTGGTGCAGTGGCTTGACTATCACATTTTATGCTGGTTCATTACATAGACTACATTCGGCAGCGGGAACCTCTTCTTCCTCCAAGCTGCGATAGGGAAATGATCCATCCATGAGGTGTTGGGGGCGAGAACCCACAGGAGCTTTCCCCGCGTTCAGGGGTCTTTACCCACAGCTTTCCGATGCACCTTATCTGCAGGACCCCTCCATTCCAGCACTGCCTCCTCTTGTTGTTCGCTCTAGTTTGAAGATTTGTGAGTGTCACAAAACGCTTAATAGAGCCTATCAGAAGCCACAAAATCATAAGCAGATCTGTGAAAGAGGGGGTTCCCATCTAACAGCTAGCGTTCATCCCACCTCCGGCGCACCGTCCCGGCCAGTGCCCCACCCCCATTCTCGGCTCGCCCACTTTCACTCTTGATAGACAAGGATCAGCCACCCCTCAGAAGCTCCCCACTCACCCCGCGATAGGCTTCACAGTCGCTACTTGTCCGCGGGCTGCCCTCCGTGGCTGAAACTTGTCGGTTATCATCTTCCACTGTTAAGCTATCCTTCCACTCTCATCGGGAGTTGGGGTGCGTGGATGTCGGGAATAACTTCTTGAATGCATCACTAAAGCATGAGAATGGGTAGCGCTCAGGTGTGTTTGGCGCCAAATGTTGCAATGGGCCAGTTTCGGAGATATGGCGTAGGTGGGATGGAGGTGGTGTTCGTTTCTAAGGAGATTCGAATCAGGCCCACAAGGTCATGATGTTAAGTAATTCTGCTGATAGCGTCTGTGTACATCGTGCACAATATTGGCAATCACTCTGCTGTCCCTTGTCTAGATTTTGAACAGGCGTTTGCATCTCGAACGATCCGTGAATCAGTTGCACCATCGAGATACCTCGTTGCCTCCCGCCAAACCTGACCAAGTCTCATAAGACGTAAAACATAATGTCAAAGGTTCGTGCGGCCACCCGTGCCGAGTTTGGATAGAGAATGCCACGGCAGGAAGCTAACCTACTCAGTTCTCGTTGAAGGGTCGCGTCGCCATCGTCACCGGCGCCGGTAGGGGCTGTGGCTTGGCCTTTGCTCAAGGCCTTGCAGAGGCGGGTGCGGACGTCGCCATCTTCGACGTGATCAACCCGGACCCTATTGCGTTTGAGCAGCTATCCTCCTCCAATGGGATCAAGGCAAAGGCGTATGTCGTTGATGTCACAGACATTACAAGTCTGGAGAAGGGGTTCGCTTCCGTCGCTGCCGACTTCGACGGCAAGCTCGACATCTTTGTTGCATGTGCTGGCGTCAACAAGAATGTGGAGTTCCTCGACACTACCGAAGAGGACTTTGACAGGCTACATGGAGTCAACGTCAAGGGTCTCTACTTCTCGGCCAAGCTTGCTGCCAAGGCCATGATAGCGAATGGCACCAAGTGTGGCAGTATCATATTCGTCGCTAGTATTGCGTCTCACATGGCGATCCGGTCACAGAGATCGACAGCTTACTGTGGCACCAAGGGCGCTGTCAGAGCGATGGTTGCACCTATTGCTGCAGAGCTCAACAAGTACGGCATCCGTGTGAACTCCATCAGCCCTGGATATGTAAGGACTGAGATGACGGCACCCTTCCCACACCTTTTGGAAAGTTGGAAGGACGAAATCATGAACGGTCGCGTTGCTGAGCCGGACGACATTAAAGGCGCATGCGTCTTCTTGGCCAGTGATGCTAGCAAGTCAGTTGACATCTTCCCAAAGAGGACAAGTGAGAAAATGACATGCTAACAGCTTTCCAGATATTGCCAGGGCAGTGATATTCTGGTAGATGGTGGTGTAACGAAGTGGTAGCGATAGTTGAGTTAGATTTATGCTGTCATGAATACATCAATGATTGAGCACGTTTAAATACTTATGACCCTCTTGGGGAATGTGACTTTTATGAAAAGCTTACCCATTCGTCTAGACTCAAGGAGAGTGAACAACGTTGAAACCTCTCACTCCAACCCCAAAGCCTAGTCTCCCCCCCAAGTGTGGGAACCCCTTGTCCTTAAGCTCTATCCAAAGTACCCTTTGCAATTTCTATACTATGTATATGCAGGCATTCTGTTTATTCGGGTATAACTCAAATGAAAAATCTCCATCTCGGGTCTTTCTCGCCATTCCTCAAGTCGCGAGTCTCCACATCCTGAGCCGTTAAAGTCATACCCTGCTCCTTGTTCTTCCTCGCATTCTCCCGTCTCATCCACATGCCGAGAAACAACACGAAAAGGATGCATACAACATTGCACCCGGCGGTGGCAATCAATGTCGGCGCATAGCGAGGAGCATAAGTGGTGCGAAATGTAGCTGCTGACAGAATGCCTCCCAAATTACCGAGACCCACGAGAAGGCCGGTTGTTGCAGCCCGGGAGTTCTCACTGAGATTATTGTTGTTATGCCAGCTATGCACTAGGGAGCTTGGGATGTAAGCACCACCAGCTAGCAGGAAGCACGCAAAGTACGCCACGCCAACGTGAGCCTGTGCATCGATAGCCGCCAACAAGATGAGACCTATCAAGCTCAGTGTCAAGCTTCCAATGATGTGGAAGGTTCTCTCTCGGTTGCGATCGGATGAGTAAGTGACTGCCAACAGGACCAAGAAGCCTACCACATTGGGAGGCACCGTAAGAAGGTTTGTGGTGACGGTGTTGTAGCCTAAGCGCCGGATGATGAGAGGGAGGAAGTTGGCTGTCGTTGCAAATGCGACGGGGTAGGTTAAGCTGATGATGCACCAGATGGGAAACTTCCAGTCGTTCCAAGTCCGAAAAGACTCCTTGAGGCTGAATTTCTCTTCAACCTCCCGGGTGCCATCACGAAGAGACCTCAAGCTTGCAACTTCTCTCTCGGCATCGTTCAAGAACCAGGCCGTTTGGGCGTTGGCCGGTAGCCACCAGAAAGCGACGATGCCGAATAAGACTGTCAAAGCGCCTGGGAAAGATTAGCAATATTCTCCTGCTGACGACAGTATTCAAAATCTCTCACCTTCAATGATGAAGAGCCACATCCATCCGTGAACGTGTGGGTCTTGAATGCGAAAGACTCCAAACGAGATCAATCCAGAGAATGCGGAGGCTAGGAGGGCACTGCCGAAGAAGATGGCAATGCGGAAACCCAATTCACCGCGGGTATAGAAGAGAGTCAAATAGAAAACAGCACCGGCAAAGAAACCAGCCTCAAAGGCCCTTTTTTGGGTCAGCATTGTGGATGATCAATCGGTCAGTGTGAAGCTTACCCTAGGATAAGGCGGATGGCTAACATGCCGCCAAAGTTCTTGCAAGCTGCTTGTAAAAGCGCCATTGCACCCCACCCTACCATCAGAGCTGGCAGGATGATGCGTCCAGAAAATCTTTTGGTCAAAAGATTTAGGGGAAGATCACAGAGACCATTAGGGATGTAGAAGAGCAGGATCAGAAGAGAGTACTGCTCTCCCACGAAGCCTAGGTCTTTGCTCATGCCATCGGTTTCCGCATTACCAAGGTTACTCTGATTTCTGGAATTAGAATACTTGCCGTGTATGCTGGGTTCAGACTGACTCACCCGGTCGACGGCATTGAAAAAGTACATAACACTCATGAAGGGCAAGAGCCAGTAATCCATCTTCCGAACTGCAGTGCATACATCGTAAGTAAAGTCACGAACATTGGCACATGTTGTTGTTTATGAGACGTACCATATGATCTCTCTACAGCGGCATCAATGACAACTTGTGACCCATATTCATGATCCCCCTGCTGGGAACCATCGGATGGCTTGTCGGCCCGAACATCTGTGGTGGACTTCATTCTGAATGACTTGAGAATTAGGTTTGCAGGGACCTTGAGCCTCATAGGAGAGAGTCATGCACATCCATGTTTACATTTATATCAGTCAAGTTCCAAGTGCAAGTTGGTTGGTGCAATCCCAGACTAGGGTGCGGCGCCTCGAACTGGGTATCCTGTGGTGCACTGAGCATGCCCAGCTACCTAGGAGATATGAGATAAACGCCGCTATCGCAAGTCCTTTTGACACATGCAATCAGTAGTCTGGGGTATACATCCTTACAGCTGCATGAAGGCCGTACATGACGAGTTCCGTACTATCGGGTCGTACCATTGATATCATGGGGCGCCCGCAGAACCTGGCAAGAGTGGGGGAGCGCGCAACCGAAGAATGGGAGTCTGGGACAGGGATTCCCCTCCATGGCCTCCAAACATCACTATCGACAGCTTCAAATGAGTGGCTTAAGGAATTTTACGATAGAAGACTCTTGAAATTGCTACAGATATTGAGTACATGTGTTACGCCACAGCAATTTGCGGCGGCTGGGCCTGCTGCTGTGACAGAAGCTTCTGCTTCTCAGCCAAGGCCTTCTCCAAGCCCTGCTTGTACAATTGGGCCCTTCCATATGATTCCGCATAGGCTGCCGACACTGCTTGCTCGACAGTGACAGGGCCGAACTTGGCTGGCTGTGTGGCGGACTTGCAGGTGGGGATGCACTCGACCAGGTAGTCTGGGTTTCCGGAAACGAAGACAGGGATAGAGTAGCGCTCCTGGCCAGACTTGTTGATGACCCTGTGGATGTTGCTCTTGTACTTCTCGTTGGTCCATCGGGCCATGAGGTTGCCCAGGTTGACGACAAATGCGCCCTCCGTAGGTGGGACCTGGAATTGATTAGTACCAAAAGTGGTGTGTGGGACATGCTGGCACTTACATCGATCCATGTCTCATTCTTCTGGTCCCAGACCTGGAGGCCATCGACCTTGTCCTGAAGCAGCATGGTGATGGCACCGAAATCCGTATGGGCTCCAATGCCGCGAGTGAGTTTCTCATCCGCATCTGCAGGCTGCGATGGGTAGTGGAGCATTCTCATTGTGGCGACCGCACCGTCCATGAACTTGCTGAAGTAGCTCTCCTCGAGATCGAGCGACAGAGCAAGTACTCTCATCAGGTCGGAGGCCAGAGATAGAGCTGACGAGTAGTACTCCATGGATGCAGACCTGAAGGTCTCGAGCTCGCTTCCGAGACCCTCGGGCCATTGGTTGGGTCCGCTGTTGAGCTTTTTGTTGACGAAATAGGGGTGGTCCTCGGGGATCTCAGCACCGATGTAGAATCCCTCTTTCAACTCGGGCTGCGTGCCCTCTTCGAGGATCTGCGATCTCAGCATCTCGTAGCCGCGGTTCCAGCTGTTGTTCTCCTTGGCAACCTTTTGCTTTTCCTCAAGGGGAAGCGAGAAAAGTTTCTTGGCGTTCTCCATCACGGCCTTCTGCTGTTGCAGGGGCACGGAGTGACCAATGATTTGGAAGAAGCCATTGTAAAGACAGCTGTCGCGGACCTGGTCCACAACCTTCTGCTTCTGCGCTGGATCTTCCGAGTAGAATGCTGCATGAAGAAACCGGTGTAAGAAGACATACCCGCTAGATGTGTAGGCTTGCGCTGCCGGGTGAACTCACCTGAGAAGTCGATGATGGGAATCTCGAGAGGCGCCATGATGTGTTCCAGTGAGATAGACTCTTCAATAAGGCTGGCGGGCTGTTGCGAAAAGTATTAAGCTAGTACTGTAGGTGGTGTGTCTTCAGATTCTCCAGCTTGAGTCTGTTTTTTCAAAGTAATTTCATATCTTCCATGCCATGAACGTCGGAAAATATAGTTCGAGATGTCAGACGAAACTGTTCATCAGCTTCGTGCATCCATCATCGTTCGCTCTACAACGCGACTATTCGGCTTTCCGAACAAAGCTCGCCCTCGCGTGAACATCAATGTTGAAGACTCGAAGAGTGGGGTGGCTCGTAGATAGCACCCATCCTAGACACTAGCATAGCGTCACCCGTCGCCCAGGAGAACGGCACATGGAAAGTATGTGTCAACAGAATGGCGGGGACGATAAGTGGCGTAGGGTGGCCGATGTTGTGCATGGATTCACTTCCGTTGTCGGTCCTCCCGTGTCACCCCCTGGCACCCACTTTCCCCTCACGCCGGGAAACGATAAGATCCGGCCCAAGATAACAACGGCATGTGCAACCCAGAATAGCTTCCAAGCCGCAGGTCTCGCATTTTGATGACATCCGTGTAAATACCGATATCAAAGACGAAGGTTTGTCACTTGCCAAGAGGGCATGGTCGGCAGCCGGACAGAGGTCGGTTGTCGCTTCGGCTCTCGGCACACTCGCGATATCCTGGAGATGCCATGACAACCTAAACTTCAAGGCTTTGTACAATCAAGACAACGAAAAAATCACCAAGGGAGAAACTTCGTTTCCAATATTTCCTGTTCAGTTAATTCCAAAACATAAGAGGACTTCCCATACATAGTTTGATAAGTAATGTCAACCTGTCGTTGTACAAATTCAAGGAATTCCAACGCTAGTTGCTACCGTCTATTACCGTATGATTACATACTGCTCACGACCCACCAACTCCATCACCAAGCCAGTTCCTGCCTTGCCCCGCAAGCTGCCTTCTCAAGCTCAGAACAGAAAGTCTCTTCTTCACTCAACTTGTTCGTGTTCATCTCCCCAAACAACTTTGGCGTTGCCGGCCAGATTTCCCTACCTCCTTGGTCCAACTCCTTCTTTCGGTGCGCCATGACCTCTTCTCGCAAGGTGTTCTGAAAGTGAATCGGGCCCTGCAATCATGTTAGAAGACCACACAAACAAAGAAAGATAATCGTCGCCATACCTTCTCCTTTTCGGGGTGTAGCTCGCCGTTGATGAACACCCCTGCACTGAGGTTTTCCTGAGCTCCAATGCAGAGTTGCTTGTCTTCTTCCAGCACCTGCTTGTAGAAAGCGTTGATAGCAGCAAACTCCTCGTCGCCAGCGTTATGGTGCCGGTAGACTTCATTTTCAATCCTTGTCTTTGTGGCGCTGACGGGAATCATTCGTTGGATGTAGAAGAAGTTCGAACTACGTCCAAGGTCAATATGGATTCTCATGCAGTCAAAGTCCAGGAAGTAAACTTACGTGATTGTTACTGATGTCGAAGGGAAGAAGAAGGTGATGGATCTCCTGAACTCGTCCACTTCCTCCTGCGCCTTCTTGTTGATGATTTCATGCTCCAAGCAGCCCCCGCTGGGCTCGACTTTGTACTTCGTCAGGTCTGAGACGCCGGCGATCAGGGGGTGTGATGTTGGACAGTGGTAGCATTCGTTGTAGTTCTCGATCACTGTCTTCCAGTTTGCGTCGAGTTCCATTTCCCATACGTGGTCGTAACTGTAGCCACCCGCAAAGTCAAAGTTCTGCATCCTTGGCTTCTGGTACACACCACCAAATTCATCCTCCCACTTGACATCAGGCTCTCCTGCTTGAAGATTCACCCAGATGAATCCGGCAGGATCAATCCGGACGTGTATAGGTAGAAGGCCATGCTGACTCTTGTCGAACCCTCTGACTGAGTCGAACCGCGGAGCTTTGGCCAGGTTGCCTTTGAAACCATAGGACCAGCCGTGATATTTGCAGCTCAAGATGCTAGCTTTCCCGGTCTTATTTTCAATGACAGGGTATGCACGGTGTCGGCAAACATTATGGAAGCCGTTGATGTTGCCTTCTCGGTCTTGGATGAGAAAGAAGGGGAAGTCGGCGTAGTTGAAAGACACATAGTCGCCCGCTTGCTTGAATCGCAAGGAGTGCGTGACCAAGATCCACTTTTTGGAGATGATGGCTCGTCTCTCAAGTTGATGCAGTTCAGGAGATCGGTACCAAGAAGCTGGGAGGCTTCGGGAAGGTTCAGGCTTGGCGTTTTCCGTTGCTGGTGAGAACCCTAGGTAGCGCCACATGTTGAAGGTTGAAGTTGGAATAAGTGGGTAAGGTTTTGGAGGCTCTGTAGGCCGTTGCAGATGCTTCGTTCGTGATTGGAACAAGAATTATGGATACGCAGCGTTCATCCTGTCTATTCACCAAGTCTTGGGATCTGAAGACCACTGTTTCTTTAAGTCCATAACCCAGGAACTGTAAGCCATCCCATGGCTGGATAGTTGCACCTATCGTGGGGTGGGGAAGAGGCTTCATGGCCACTGGATTAGTGCGTATGGTGTGAAAATGGGGGTGGGGGTGGAGGAGGCGGAAGGGCCAACTCTTAGTGTTTTGGGTGTCGATAAGCCGCAATCAGCAAAGATAGCACTGGATGACAGCAACATCCAGCTCATAATTTTTCCACCGCGGAGTTCATCTCGATTTGCTTCAAAATATGCGTGGCTGCCTGTCAGGCATAAAACGAAGGCATGTGCCAGAGGCAATACGTGGGGATGGCGATAGCCGTCGGAGACCATATTCGGAACGCCGGAGCGATCTCGGAGAAAGCCCACCATGCCGGGGAGAATCTAACCCAAACATTTTCTTTCCAGATAGGAGCATAGTCAGTGTCCATCGCAATTGTCTTGCCACTGGAATCCTAAACCAAAGAGTCTTGTAGTTAGTAATTTCAAGATCACTGTTTCAATTCCTGACCGGAGTTATGAAACTAGAATTTCCTGTTAATCATGGGCAACGAACAATACTTATGGAAAGACATAGTTCGAACTATGACTCAACAGCGCCGAGTAAACTTGATCTGCCTTCTAGTTGCCAGCCCATTTCACCTCGTAAAAGAAGTTGCCATTCTAGAGACACGAAAAAGCGGGACTCTTCGTGCCAACTAGAATGCTATCCTATCAGCTCTTTCTACACCCACTACTCACCTTCAGTGGCTGTAGACTAGTGTTTCTGTTTAAAGACCAACTTATAGGCAAAGTTTCACGCTTCAACTTTCCCTTATCCAGTCAAGCCCTTGATAGTATGTCAGGTTCCAAGCTTCACCCGGACGGGTCTGAACTACTCAGAGATGACACGCCCGGAGACCGCCCCTGAACTCCAAACACGTGCTCAAGATTTAATGCGGCTTCCGGCAATGAACGACCCTCGGTGCCTGGCAAGCTCAGATCTAATGTAAAATGCACAATTGTGGGTGTGACACAACTCTACAGTCAAGTCGCGGGTGTAGTAACCGATCAGCCAAAAAGACGTCCTTCATGCAGTCATGTCAGGCGACCGTTTGCATGCAGAATTGGGCAGCCAGGCGTCTGTAGTCCGCCATGGGGTAAGCATAGGCCCATTCGTTCGAAGGCCCGGCTTACCTCGGTGTAAGGCTCTAGACCGGGCCCAACTCTGGGCCGCAATAACTAGACGTTTCCATAAGCACAGCATCCGACTCGGCCCGGTGTCTTGCCATCTGTTCCTTCCGGTCATATGACGATTTGTGTTTAGGCTGAAATGAGTCGGAATGGCTGGTGCGAATGAAAGGTGATTCCAATGCACCAGCTATGCACGATCAGGCAGGCTGTGCCTGCGATGCCTATCCCAATGTGCAACTTCTTGTTCGCGGTTTCCTAGCCAAACGTACATTGGAAGTCTGGAATTGTTGAGATCAATACAGGGTCTGGGACAAACTAGGGTGATTTGCCAATGGCAGCGTCGATCTGGTCTAGCAAGGCAGTCTTGAATGCTGCCCATGGTTCGGGCATGGCTGCCTGACCGTTCAATAACGCGACCCTCCTTGGCCAACGAAGGGGTCTCGTGCATGGATCTCAATTCAAAAGTGACATTTTCCGATTCTTTGGCCCCCAATTCAGGCGTACCGACGCGGACAGTGTTGGCGTGGCTTACATTTAAGGATTCAGTTCCCGCGAACCACTGCATTTCATGAGCGTTTGAGAACTTTAGTCTTTCATGCGCCATTTCCCCTCGTAGCAGGACAACAAGTAGACTTCGATTCAACGGATCGAATATCCAGCCGGAAGACGTTTCAGCTCTTGCCACTGTCTTTGAGCAAATATGGCGCCACGTCACAGCCATCATCGAAAGCATGCAGTCAAAAAGGCTCAAGAAGATACTCCGTCACAGCCTCCTCCGCCGCTCGCGAATACCAAACCTGCCGCACCAGCAGCAACGCCGTACGTTGCCCTAGCTGTGGGGCCGTGGTCTGCCTGGACCCTTGATAGTGAAGATAGGGGGTTTTACTTCAGAAATCGCGTAACAGCAACAGGTGTGTCCTTAATTACATGCCGTGTTTATGGCACCAGCTGACAAGTGACTTTCAGGTCAAATGCAGTGGGAATATGCTACTTCTACACCGTTGCAAACATACGCCTATCCACAACTGACGGCGGAGCCGCCGTCCTTTTACTACCACCCCGTCGTAAATCCTCCCATGCAACCTGTGTACGACTATACGCCTCGATATCCAGTCAATGTGGCCGCGAGTGATATCAAGTCTAGCGATGCTTCTGACGCTACGTCCGAATCTGAAGACTTTGACGTCGCTGCTGCTAAGCTAGCAGGATTCTCGATTCCGGCAATCATCGATGTGGACTCGAAGAAGATTGAGATGCGACTTCCGAATCTTCGATCTGGCGATACCACCTTTGTCTGGGACCGAAAGCATGGGCATTCGTCGAAGACAAAGATCTACTCAGATACAGACTCGAGGGTTGAAGAGTGGTTGAGGAATGAGTTCAGTGTTTGATGATGGCAGTTAATCGCGAGTTGGAATGCTCCTCCATCCACTTAACGTTTCTTTGCTTGAATATAGTATATCCAGCTTTCAGCGCATTATGCATGTTCAAACGTTTTCAGTAGTAGATAATGTCAAACTCATTGCCTCTCGGGAACAATTCTAGTTACATTGCCTGGCAAAGGCCAGATAGGATTTTAATTATTTTCATGAAACTGTGAGAAAATGATATCAATCTGGAGACTTCCTCGGTCGCTGTCTGCATTACATTTGATTCTTATCCTGATCGAATGTTCATGAATTGCCATTATCCATCGACCCTTTTCTGCTATCCAGTATTACGCACCGGTAGTATCTGTTGTGGAAGGCTTTTCTCGTTGCGGCAGAGTTCTTTCGCCTAGGTCAGTCTTAGATTCTTCGGCATCCTTAAGTCCTTCGGCATCCTTGGGTCCTTCGGCGTCCTTGGATCCTTCGATGTCTTTGAACTTTTCGCTTTCCTTCGATTGTCCAATATCCTCGAGTCCTTCAGCGTCCTTGGGTTGTTCGATATTCTTTGGTTCTTCACTATTCTTCGGTCCTTCGTCATCCTTAGGCTGTTCAATGTCCTTGGATTGCCCGACACCCTTTGGCTTCTTCCTGCCTTTCGGTTTCTCGCTACCCTTCGGCTTTTCGCTGCCCTTAGACTGTTTAATGTCATTTGGTTGTTGGGTATCCTTTGGCTGTTCGCTGTCTTTTGGCTGTTCGCTGCTCTTAGATGGTTCGTCATTGTTTAGTTGTCCACTCTCCTCGGCCGTCCTCTCTTCATCCTTCTCGTCTCCGGACTCGCCGTCATTCCAACCAGGTATCAGCTCGTTATCGGCTTCTCCTTCCTCTTCAGGGTCCCAACCCTTCAGAACCCGTCTTGCCGCATCTCTCCCAACAACGGGTAGCCTCTGCACTCCGTTCTTGCGCGCCTCTTCGGGTACTAGGTTGGGATCCAGCAAGCCAATTTGCACCAGAACACTAGCCTGGTCCCAATATACATGCTCGTGGTAAAGCTTGCCTCCCCTCAATCCCACGATGCTGACCACGAGGACCTCGACCCTTTTGTTCGTAGCAGGGACACCGGGTAAGATCCAAGGCATCTCCTCGGTGTGCTTGAAGCGGACATGAACCTCGTCGACGACTCGGTCAGCCCCAATGGTTCGGGAAATCAAGGTCAATCTCATCGATGGAGGGTTGCTGAAAAACTGAGAGTAGAAGCGTTCGAGCTCTGATGACCCGATTCCTCCCGTCAAAGTGGGGATATGAGTAACGTGTGGGCTCTTGTGTGTAGTGTACGATGAAAGCGTCTGGTTCAGGTTTCGGGTGAAGAATTTACCTGCTCAAGTCAGCTTGTTTCACTCCTTCCATTTCACTTGGATACTGACCCTGTACGTTTTCCTCCAACACAAGTTCCAGGTCCACATAATTATTGAAGGCTTTTCTTGCCGCAGTCAAGCTCCGGCTCCACGCCAACTCGGCACAGATTTTGTCAAAATCGTCCAGGTCATGCTCGGCGAAACCAGGCGCGGCGTCGTAAGTGTAGGTTGGGTAAGCGAGTTTCAAAGTTCCTCCAGTGCCGATGCCACTTTCCACCTTCTTCCGCGTTGTTCGCCTTTTCCCTTGGATTCCAACCATCTGAGATCGCTTCGTGATGCCAATCTCCTCATCCGCTGCAAGATGAACGAGAGCTGAGATGCTGCTTGGGAAGTGCCCTTGGGGGTCTGGGATAGCAGTCGGATAATACGCGATCAGCAACCCGAGTTTAAACTCCGGGTTATTGTCCAGCACGTGGTAATGCTCTAGGCACACAGCAGCAGCATCACCGTACGCTGTCTAGTATTAGTATAGTTGTACCAGGTCATAATATGCGTCATCACTGTTGACTGACCGACGATTCCAAATGTCTGGCATGGATCCATCTTCTTTTTACTCAAAGATCGGAGCTTGCTCCGATACTTCTTCGGGTCCCCCATGGGCAGATATTCGACTTCGAATCCCTCATCGCGCCACTCAGCTAGTGTCAACTCATCGAACTCGTCACTCTCTGCAGTTATGTATAACTTTGGCCGCGAGCGAGGAAAACCTGATGACAGAAAGTTGACGTCTCTGTAGTTGGAGCGGGTCCAATTATCTGAGACGATGCGCGCATTGCGCCCTTCTGATTCCGGCACCGCTTTCTTGACCAGATCCGGTATATCGATGTTCATAATGAATTTTTCGTTACTGATTTTGATCGTGAGAATAAGTCAGCATGTCAAGTATTCAAACAGCACGGAATTGTTTTGCTGAGGGGGATTCCCGTTTCCTGTTAAGTACATGAGACGAGTGCTTGGTTCGCGTGATGATGACGTCACACTTCGAATGTGCTTGGTCTCTCCATGTATGATATCAGCGGGGTCACGCACAACGCTGCGTGGAGTGATTTCAGTCTGCACGATCCAAGTTTACTGTGGTGCTTGGATGAATCTGTCCTATTCTAACCAGCTTGTTCAAGAATGTTCTCTGCCATGAAAAGCCAACTTTAATAGCCGAATGTCCTGTAGCAAATGCCACTACCTCGTCTGCAGCATTTTATCAGCCGATTCTAGCCGCGGCCACGCTTCACGATCTTCCCCTCACGGAATTAATTGCTTGTTGACGCTCGTCACTTCTGTCCACCCCTGGGCCACCCCCGGCTTCGACAATCAGAGGTGCCAGGTCGCTTGATGCAAGATCCAATGGAGTAAAACCAAACTTCGATAAGTTTCCAGCGTCAGCACCCCAAGAGAGGAGCAATTGAGCCGCCTCATAGTGGCCACTCTCAACCGCTTCCATCAAAGGCGTCCATGTGTCCCATGTCTCTGCATCAACTTCACTGCCTGCGTTGTATAGCAACCTGATTGTCTTCGTGCACCCGCTCCGTGCAGCTCTGTAAAATGGTGTCGTGCCCGTATCACTGCGAGCGAACGGTGATGCCCCGTGTTCCAGCAGGAAACCAACCATTTTTTCTTTTCCCTCCTCGGCAGCAACATGCAGAGGCGTCAGAAGCCTCATCCTGTCGGGAACGTCGACTCTGGCCCCCATGCTCAGGAGACGACGCGCGAGTTCGACGTCGCCCACCATTGCCGCAACAATGAGACAAGTACTCCCGTCGGAGAGGTATCCGTTCATATCCTCCAACGTGGGAAGCAATACATCTACCAAGACGTGAAGATCATTCGCGATTGCATAAGTGATAGGATTGCCGCTGTAACGGGTGGCATTCATGCTTGGACTTTCTTCCAGAACATATTGCCATATTTTGTATTTGCGCGGGCTTTGGGCAGGGTCCAGAAACCATTGCATGTGCCGATAGAACCTCTCCATATTCGTCTTGCCAGAGGACGAGCTATACAGCCGCAAATGCGTTGCCCAGTTATTAGCAGCGTAGTACAGGAAGGAGTACTGATTGAGGAAAGCCTCAAATTCTTTGTAATTCTTGGGTATCTCGCGATCAAAATCAGAGAAAGCAAGATATTGAAGACATTTTTCCGCTGCGAACGCATGCGCATCAACTTCGCTGAAGTGAAACATCGATGCCGATGTATTCAGGATGTCAGATCCAGTAAGAAACTCTTTGACCGTTGCGTGATGCATCTGTACGATCGTTGCGGCATGCGAGCGATGTCGCGACGTCTGGTAATACGATACCAATTGTACGAGTGGCGCAACAACGTCATAAGGGTCGGTAACGATTGCTTCGAATTCGAGGGCAGTATCGTCTGATTCAATAGACGTGATTTCAGCTACATTCTCCACTGACAGTGGTATCAAACTAATGGCGAGCCATTGCAAGATATCCTTCAGCTCGGACTGCCGTCGTGGGTATCTTTGGAGAGCAAAACCAAGTATTTGCTCATACGTAGCATTGAGGCCATTAGGGAGGCTCTGAAGAGCCCGTCGAACCTCCCGATCAGTCCTCGTCGCCGTGATGTAGTCTAGCTGAAGGTTGGCTTGGAGGAAACTAGGGCACGGGGAAGGATGTTAGTTCTGTACGAGATGAGAATGCAGGATCATGGCATACATACGTTCCAGCTGTTCGAAGAACTTGATCTCGAATGATCGGTGCCAATTTCAGGTCTCTAAGACAAATCTTGTTTGACTTGATCCTAGCCTGCAGCTCAGCCGACACAAACTGCTCGAGGTCCGCCTGTAGGGGGTGATGCGAGTCTAGTTTCCATGATAGACACTTGCAGTCGTGTGCGAGACTCCTCCGGATATACGCATCCTCTCTGCTAGTTATCATGATTTTTCTGCCGACAACTTTCTGTCGGCCCAGTGATCTTCTCGGGTCGTCAGGGATGGTTGGTTCAGCTTGCCTTCCCATTAATTGACGTAAAACTGCAACGAAGGCTTCTTTCTCTTTGTGTTGCATCCCTTCAACCTCATCCAGAGCATCCACAACAATAATGACCTGGTCATAGCCGCTCATGAAAGACTCAACGAGATGCACATAGTCGCTTGTTGTTAGCGAAAAGCCTTTCTTACTCTTTTGTCTTTCCGAAGCGGCATTGAAACACCTTTGCGAGCGTGAAACAAACTGAGCGGCAATGCTCATGAGGAAATGAAGAGTAGCTTTCTCCTTTTCCTCGAAACTGCAGAAGAAGTAAACCATGATTCCATTAGGCGATGAGAGTATGGCTGGGAGGGCCTCAACGGCCGTGGCACTACCCGATGCATCAGTAAATGCAATCATCCATAGCCGTCACAACTGACCATAGAACGGATTTGCCAGCCCCCGCTTGTTAATATGTTATTTCCTTTAAACAATTCAAGGTATAATATGATGGAAAGCTTACGAAGGCCGGTGATCCATAGCAACTCCTCAGACTGGTCATTCACCCAGTTTCTGAACTCCTTAGATTCGACGAGCCAAGCCCCAGTCCCAGTGTGTCGTCGACTCAAAAGATCTTGCAAAGTGTCTTGTGTTTGCAAATGTGTCACTGGACAAACCCAAGAAAATACCTTCTGCCAATCCGTCTGGTTGACTTTGGTTTCGATTCTGTCGACGGCAAGTCTTAGAGTTCTACGGTTAGCATCATTCCTGACCCCTAGGAAGCATATCTCACGCGACATTGGTGTCCAGGGCAGTCGAAAGAGTTTCTTTCATTCGCCGGAGACGATCCAAAGACTCTTGTACTGCCTTCTGCACATGCAGCGGCCATGCCAATCTCTTGGCAATATTTCTCAGTCGTTCGCCGTCCTCTTTCCTCAGTGATGCTAGGGTCTGGTTGATCGAAGCTAGCAGATTATGGCATTCATCAAATACTCCAATCTCTTTCAATCGAAGCAGAGCATTCTCACGAGCCGAACCCGAGTTAGTCGATTGGCTTAGGTCCCGCAAGCGACTCAAAAGACAGTCCAAAGCTGCGGTTTCCGTAAGGAGCTGTCGGATTTCCGTCGGGGCGCCAATGGCCTTGTTAAGAAAAGCGTACCCCTCTGACAGAATTTTGACGGTCAGTTCTGTCAGTTGCACAGCAGCCGCAGCGATGCCGAGAATCTCAGCCATGGCAGTATCCGAGAGATCACTACGTGTTGGAGTATCGGCTCGGACCCCTTGCAGAGTTGACATTCACGATGAGATCAGAGGGAAGTGCATTTGTGCGGGGAATACGAGGTTAACTTCTTAAATCCGGGCCGTGATTGGGACGCCTGCGTTGGCATAGATACCTGACCAATCGCGTGGTCAGCCCATCTGCGCTTTACGTACATTTGTGGCCCAGGCTGCATTACCTTAGGGCAGATGATAATCTAGCAGAAATTGAGCAGCAGAGACATATTCCACCGTTCTATATATTGCACGTCAGATGAAGGTCATCCGCCCACCACAGGTGAGGTCCATTCTGGTCCCATTCTAGGCCCACGATTTCGAACATTCCAACAGCCACATGCAACCCAAGCCACCTTTTCTCACTTGTTGAACTCAAAGACCACGTGAGACAGCGGTGGCTGAAGTTCGCCCGAGACCTTAAACATGTTAATGCACCAAATGTGCTCAGATGATATCCATGCTTATGAAGCAATGCTAGATGGGATAAAGTGAGGAACTTTAGAGATGGAAACTAGAACTTATTCTCTGTCTAACAATTATCCATTTTCGCTCTTGCCTTGGGGAGTACTTACTCCCAAATCTTCAAGTCCCGGATTCCCTTTTGCCGTTGTAAGATAAGGACAAGAAGCTTAAATCTTACTCAGATTTTAGTTCTTCACTTGTGTTAGAAGGATTCTTACAAAGTTATTCCTGTCGTACTAGTCTGGTATTTTGGGATGGGCTCTATCCTTGATGAGGCTAGAGGTTAGATTGGCGCTTCCTTCCCGTCAGTCAACTGGACTTTGGAACGTTGTCCGGATGAACCAAAATAAGCTCATAAAGTCTTATAAACTCACTGGGGACTTTTCGCCGGCTCTTCGGGCATCTTTCTTCCAAACTTTCACAATCCATCTCAAAATTTTGTTAAGCTGGTCTAAGACGAACTAGATATGAACAGAAGTCGTTCCCCGTCGGGGTTCCGTCCCCTTTCAAAAGGCCAAACACGAACAACATCTCACGAGGAAATCCTATTCCCGAAACTGTACGAAGATGCTTGGGGTACCGGCGGACCCGGCGACAGCCGCACTGGTCTGGAAAGAGCCAAGATCTTTCTGCTTCGCTTCGCCAAGATGAACCCAGATCCGGTCTTCAGTTTCGAACTGCAAGCCATCGCGACAGACCAACAGTATCGCAACATCACAGCCCTAGCTCGCGCCGTTCAAACGAGGGTCTTCGGCAACCGTCATCCCAGCTTCGCCCCCTCGCCCCTGCTTCAATGTGTCCGATTTATGCTCATCAAAGCCAAGGTGCCGGACTTCATGTACTCCGACGAAACCAAAGTTGTGATGGACTTCTTCTTTGACCCGACAATTTTCAGAAATGTAGAGCCTCCGCCTGTCGATGCAGTCGTCTACAAGTACCCCACAGGACGTCTCAAGGTTGCTATAGTTGGTGGAGGTCCCACGGCTCTGGCATCAGCCATTTCGCTCGCCGAAAAGGGTGCTGGCAAGATACAAGTTCATGTATATGAAAGGCGCTGGGTGGTCATGACAGGCCTAAACGGTACTTATGTCGACTATCCGCCGACCAGCGCTACTAACCAATCAATTAAGTCAAATTGAGGGGTCTGATTTGGCTGTTTAGCCCAAAATTCACGGCAGATTTAGCTATTTAGTTTATTTAAACTTAAATTAATAGATTTAATCTAAAATTACCTATTTAGGAAGTTAGTGAGGCTATCGTAAAGTCTCTAGGGGTTAGATATATATATAATATAGTATTTTGAGGTTATCTTAATACTATTAGCCCCTATAGAGGTAGAGGTAGCTACTAATAGCGATATTACCGCCTTAAACCTAATTCTAGAAGTATTAGGTCTTTTTAAGTAGATTTAGTATTATTAATAGCCTCTATAATATTAGTATAAGCTTAATAAGGCTAAATACCTTCTTATAATCTATTATTATTACTAAAATAGTAAAAATATTAAGGGTAAACTTACTAAAAATTAAGAAGGTTTAGTAATATAAAATCTACTAAGTAATAAGGTTATTAATAGGTTAAGTAATTAATAGATAATAATAGTAATTTAGTTTAGAGGCCCTATTAATAATAATACTTTAAGATCTACTATTTAACTATTAGCTATATTTAGAGTCTTTAAGCTTAATAGAGGTTAAAATAGATATAAAAAAGCCCTCTAGAAGTATTAGTAAAGTAATATTATTAAGTAGGTTAGTATACTATAATTCCTAGTACTTATAAAGACCTCACTTAATATTAGGAAACTATATATCTATTTTAAGTATATCCTAATATTTTTTAAGCTATTATACGCCTCACCTAAGGTATAATATTATAGTTATAGTATATAGAGGTAACTTAGTAAGTTTAGTATAATACTTATTAAATATTAACTAGCTATTAATAATAGAGATATATAAGTAACTCTTTAAATTAAAATTAACGCTATAGTTAAGCTAATAATCCTAAGAAGTATATTTAGTATAAGTATATATAGGGATACTATTAATTAATAAGGTCTATAAGGATATTACTACTTAGTAAGAAGATTACTATAATAACCTTATATACTAACTTAACTATATTAACTAACTTTAAGCTAGTTATATAACTATAGTTTTAATCTTTTTATTTATAAGGATATTATATAGCTTTCACTAGTCCTCTAACTTATCTAAGAGATATTTTATACCTATAAGAACTTCCTAGAGTTAACTATACTTATTACCCTTACCTTAGCCCTTATAATACTTTATCTATAAATAGAGAGGCTTAAGAATATCTCTAAGTTTAGTAAGTATATACTAATCCTTATTAGTAAGGTTATCCTTATTAAATAGGTAATACTTTAGCTTTAGAATAGACTTATTATTAAGGATAAAGCTATTAATCTAGCTATATTTAAGTAGGGCCCTCTAAATTATTATATATATTAAGTTCTATTTTATTATATTATTTAGTATTAGTTTAAGCTCTTAAGTTAACTCTTCTTATAGAGTAAATATACTAAAGTTATCTTAAAGCTTATTACTAATCTCTAAGAACTTCTTAGTATATTATAGTAATAACCTAATATACTTAATAATATTATAGAGTTTACTAACTAGCCCCCTTAATCTCTAAAATACTAGATCCTCTTAGATATTATTAGTTTTAATATAATAATTAGACTCTTATTCTAAAGTTACTTAATTAATACTATAGATAATAGCTTAACCTATTAGATTAAGGATATAACTATAGTATTAAATATATTATTATTCTATATCTTTTTTAGTAAAATATAGTGAGATAAATAGATAAAGAGCCTTTAGATAGATATTATTATTACTAATATTATTATATACTATTACACTAACTTAGTTAAGTATCCTAAAATCACTAATAATTATATATATTATTAGAGTAATATTCTTACTAGTATAAGTACTAAGTTAATAGTAGAAAGCTAAGAGGTATTATATTTACTTATCTAACTTATTAATAAAGTAACTAAAAATAGTAATAATAGCGTAATAATTAAGTAATATCTATAGGTTAAACGATAAGTAGACCTAGCTAAAGGTATTAAGTATCTCCTTCTTAATCTATTCCTTCTTAGATATATATATATATAATTAAAATAAACCTTTATACTATCTCTTAACTAATAAATCTAATTACTAATATTATAATTAAATAGGTTAAAAATATACTAAATATATTAGTTACTAAAAGTTAAAAAAAGGTTACTAATATTAACTAGGAAGCTTATAGCTAGATCTTTAATCTAAGTAACTCTTAACTTAAGTATAGTAATAGGGGTAGAGTAGTAGCACTTTAGAGGTAAGCTTAGGTTATTAAGGTTATTAATAGGTATAAGATCAGCCTAAATAATATAATATAAAGTCTTAAGATAGTTAATAGTAGAACTTATAGCTAAGGTATTAAAAGGCTTATTAATATTACTAGCTTTATTATAGTAGTAGTAGACCTAATATGTACTACTTATATAGCTTATTAGTATAAAAAAGAGTAGATTAAATAGGCACTATACCTAGAGTATTATTAAGTAAGATCTTATATATAAAAAAGCCCTTATCTCTAATCTAAGAGGTATAGCCTCAAAACCCCTTCTTTAAGATTAGTTTAGTATTAATAAAGGACCTATTCTTCTATATAGTATAAGGTAGAGCCCTTAATAAGTCTCTCGTATTAAGGTTAGTACTTAATATATTACTAGCTATTAATATAGTATATAGTTAAGTAGTAATACTATAAGGTAATAGTAAAGGTATAAAGTTAATAAAGTGATTAAGATATTAGCTAGCATTTAGTAGAGGTATTATAAAGGTAGGTAAGCTATTAAAAAAGGTATTAAAAAAGCGTATAGATAGGTAGGGCTTTAAAGGATTATTAGTAGTAGTAGTAGTAGTAGTAGTAATAGTAGTAGTATTAGTAATAATATCAAAAAAGGGTTATTTTTAAGGGCTAATATAGAGGTTAAAAATAAGCTTTTTTTAACCCCTAGTAAGGAGGCTAAAAACGTATTAATTAAGCAGTATAGTAAAAAGTATATTTCTAGTACTTCTAGTACTTCTTAGTAGTAAGGCTAGTACTACTAGGAAGTACTTAGCCCTACTTTAGTACCTATTAGCCTAAGGGTATTACTAAACTAATATTTATAACTATTTACCCTTTTTTTTTTTAGAGATATATTATAATAAGACCTAATAGGCTAGTAATAAGTCTACTATATAGGGAATTATAGAGATATTAGTTTAAAACTAGCTTAGGTTATTAACTTTAGTATAAAAGTTATAAAGGTTATAACCTTAAGTAGCTAGAAAAAGTAATATTAAGTTAACTTTTTTATTTTTTTTAATTAAAAAAATAAATCTTTTAAAAATTATAATTAGTCTAGAGGCTAGATTTTATTTCTTCTAGTTAACCTCTAACTTAATTAAATCGTCTAAATCTATAGTAATAATAACTTAATTATTTGCTTTACTAAATAGCCTCAATTTGATTAGCTGATTAATTAATTTGTTTGATTCGACTTAGTTGGTTAGTAGCGCTGCCGCCGACCGCTAGAAGACGCGATCAGGTCGTTACATTGCAAGAGTCAGTCACGACCTTGATGAGCCAGGCAACGCAGCAGGCACTTTTTGAGGGACGTCCCGAATGCGTTTGGCCTGGTTCCGCCAACATTCAGATCCGGAAGGTCGAGGATCGGCTGCTTCGAAGATGCCAAGCGCCTGAATTTTATGACCTGATACACCTTCACGCGGAGGGCGTTACACGCGAAGACTTGCACAAGGTTGGTGACTTTCATGTGCTGCTTGGGGCGGACGGAGCAGCATCTTGGATCCGTAAGTCCTATTTTCATGGCTATGAGAATGAACGCGGGAGGAGCTATGCCCTCGGCTTGGCATTCAATCGACCAGCTGGACTTCCTTGGTCGCAACCCTTGAACGTGTTCCTGACCTTAGGCCAAACCCGTTATCTCCTCAACGCCAGTGACTTCGATGGTCGCGGGTACCTCAACATGCAGCTCACCGAGGAGGAATGGCACAAGATGTTGGCTATGGATGGTCAACCTGTCACTTTTGGATATCCAGGATGTCTTCGACGGCCGGATGGGACGATCCCGCCTGGCTTTAACGACAACCAAGTTTTCGCGCCGTCGGAGAATAGAGGAGGTTCACTGTGGAGGTCTATATCGGATGGATTGAAGCTTTTCGGCTTTAAGGAGAGCGAGGTCATCAACGTCGTGCGCATCCCGATTGTGGTGCAAGCTGTGCGCGAAGGCATCCAGTACCTCCCGCCATCAGATTCGGCTTCTATCAACCGGCCTCATGCCCTTGTCGCGGTCGCTGGGGACGCTGCTATGACGGTACACTTTTGGCCAGGGCGTGGTCTCAACAGTGGTGTTAAATCTGGCATCGCTCTCGGAGACGAAATCGTTCACGCCCTCAATGCTGGCAAATTCGTCGGTCTACCTCTGACGGCAATGCAGCAATACAACGACTTCATCATGAAACTTCAGGATCGTGAGCACGACAAACGCAGCATCCCCATCCTCAACCAGTCAGGAACGCCAGAAACGCTTGGATGGCTCTTGAGCAAGGCGAATACAGTTCCCGACAACGTTGCCATAGAATGGTTGGTCGGGGCCATGTCCCAGATTGCGGAACGTCTGGAGCAACGAGGAGATTGGGCATTTCAGCCAGTTGCCAATGTTGAGCCACAGCTTCGAATCGTTCTTCGACAACTTGACTCTGAGACATTGAGGGAGATGGCAGTCAGCTTCCCGTGGCCGACGAGGGAGATGGGCGGCGCTGAGGTCCTGCCCCTTCGTTCGATGAAGCCCGAAGAGAAGCAAAGGTGGCTCCAACAACTCTGGGGGCTGCTGCGGGATGAAGCTCCGAAGAAGCCTGCGTCGCGCGGCGATCAGGGTCGTGCTTCTCGATTCGAGGCACCTCGCGGGGCTGCCCTTCTTCCTCCGCGGGCAACCTCGCCGTCTCCGCAATTCCTTACCCCGGACTCGGGAAACCCCACTCCGAATCGGTCCGAGTCGACATTGCGCCGGAGCAATGCGAGCCGGGGTCTGTCTTCCCCTGGGCCATCGGAGAGGAACCTGGCAGTCCCCAACGAAGATCAAAACGTTCCACGGCCACGCTCGCCGTCTGTTGGTGGTGAAATGCCACTTGGGAGACTACTCAGTGTCAGTCAACGGCCGGGACGCGCTATCTTGGCTGATGCCATGTCCCTTGCTCTTTTCCGTGTTGACGGAGACCCCTCAATGTAGTGTTATGTCCACATGATACTTCACCAACCAATTAAATGCGAGATTATTGTGCACGGCCGGGAGCTTCAACCCCGCCCGATGATCACGGCGCTGATAAGGAACGCCGATTCCGCTCTCCCCTCGCCGTCCGTCCGCCGAAGACACATTCCTTAAGCGTTCGCAACTCCTTTTGACGTTACAGAGTCACTCAACAAGTCTTTGCTTGATTTTAATTCCTCAAAGTCGATTCCTTAGCTCCTGCAGCCATGTACTCACCGCGTATCGGCGATGGCCTCGACAGCCTGGACACTCCCTCCATGATCGTTAATCTCGATCTTATGGAATCCAACATCAAAAAGCTATTCGACAATTTTCTGCCTACCGGTCGCAAAGTACGGCCTCATCTGAAGACCACGAAAAGCGCTGTTCTTGCCCGCAAGCTGGTGGCCGCTGGCGCAACAGGCTGCTGTGTGGCGAAAGTTTCCGAGGCAGAGGCTATTACTGCGGCCGGTTTCGATGACATCCTCATCACTTGCGAAATCATCGGTGCTCCCAAAGTCAAGAGGCTTGTCGAGCTGTTCCGGAAACATAGGGACATCAGGATTGTCGTGGACAGCGAAGTTGGTGCAACCGCAATAAATGACGCCCTGGCCCAATCTGGCATCGATCAGCCGATAACTACTCTGATTGATCTCGACGTGGGACTGCACCGAACCGGAGTCGCCCCTGGAGAACCGGCTTTGGCTCTCGCGAAGCACATTGCGACGCTGCCGCATCTGCGGTTGATTGGTGTCCAGGGCTACGAGGGTCATCTTCAACACCTTCACGACCGTGAAGACCGCAAGAAACAGTGCCTTGAGTCGATGAAGACGCTGGTCGACACGGCAGAGCAACTGCGAAAAGAGGGTTTCACTATCGACGTTGTCACCACTGGAGGAACAGGAACTGGAGAGTTCTGTGCCCAGGTGCCCGGTGTAACCGAACTGCAGCCCGGCTCTTTCATTTTCATGGACACAGATTATCGAAACGCAGTTGGCACATTTTACTCGAACAGTCTTACCCTTTTGGCGACGGTAGTTAGCAAACAGGGCGAACGTCAGGTCACGATCGATACGGGCCTCAAATCCTTGACAACAGACAGCGGACTGGCAGAGTGCAAGGATCCCAGGTACAGACATGCGAACCTTGGTGATGAGCACGGCTCATTGACCTGGGACGAGGGAACGCCGGCGCTTAATGTGGGAGATCGGGTTGAGATGATTCCCAGCCACATCGATCCGACGATCAACCTTCACGATTTCTACTATGCGCATAGAAATGGGGTTATTGAAGAGATTTGGACTGTGGACTCAAGAGGAAAGGTCCAATAGAAACAGTAGGATGCATAATGTCAAGTTTATTTGAGATCCCACGACCAACACCAAGAACCCATTGAAAATGCAATCTCACATCAGCAGACTTCTCGACACCTTTGGTCTATTTTGCGCCTACTCATGCGCTCTCGTGATGCTGCGTAACTCCGGCTCTCTTGTCGTCCCCGGATACAAAGGTATCAGTAACCCTTGCTGAGTCTCCGTCGAAAATGACGGCCATCTCCTCCAGTGTGTGACCTCTAGTCTCGGGGTAGAAGAAGTAGATGATCACCGTTCCGATGACCAGAATGACAACGAAAATAAGGTAATATTTCCAACCCATTGCATCGAATGCGATGGGGTTAACGAAAACATTGAAGAAAATGCCGAAATATGCAGATATTTGTGTCAAGGCGGTGCCGCGAGCACGTAGCTGGTACGGCCAGATCTCGGCGGGGTATGATACGATGAGGGGTGTACTGTGTTTGCACAGTTAGTGTCGAACAAACAAACAACCTTCGAGTTCGTGGGAAGAAAAATACTTACAAGGCGATGTCGTAAAAGCTGTAGTAAATATACAGGAAGGGAACCACTGCGAGACCGACTGATGCTTTTCCTGTTGTGGCGAAGCCGCCATTCAAGCCTGAAAGGATGATGTAACTGGTAAGCATGCCCAAAACACTGGTAAGGAACAGGAAACGGCGGCCGACTCTGTCGACGGACACGGCAGCCGAGACTGCCATAACTAGGTTCCAGCTCTGCAAGCAGCCGTTGATAATGGTTTGGTCCGTGATCGACGTGATTCCGACTGCTTTGAGAACGTCTGCGAGGTAATAGCTGACCAAGTTATTACCGCCCTGAAACCGTCAGTACAGTCTTTTATGCTTGAGGCTTTCCTCTTACCCATTGACTCAGCAGACCAAGCGTAATCGAAATAAACGCCCTGTGTCTGTTTCCAGGGGTCTTAAACATCTCCATCCAAGAAGAAGTCTCACCCGCAGCCTTGTCGTCTTCAATCGCCCGCTCGATTTCGGCCATCTCGAAGTCGACCAGTAAGGAATGTTCGTCGCCATCGCCGTGGAGCTTGACAAGGATTCTGCGCGCTTCCGCAATCCGACCCTTTGAGACCAAGAAGCGGGGCGATTCGGGGACCAAAATGGCGGCTGGGAGAACGACGATAGGAACGGCGATTTGAAGAAGAGAAGGGATGCGCCAAGCCCATGTGCTGTCGTAGTTTCGGGTACCGTATGTTACCTTGATCCTGTGAGCGACTATCAAAAGAGCATGGTTATTATCAACTTACCCAAGCAGCAAACGAGCTACCGACAAACCAACCACAGTTGTAAAGCCTGTAGTCAAACCGCTTTAGTCATGCCATGGCAAAGCTTGAGCGATATGATACTTACGCTGTAAGAATTCCACGGTGGGTTGGATACGCCAGCTCAGTGATGAGAACCGGTGCAAGTCCACCCCACCAACCACTAGGTTGACCGATGAACAGTCGCCCAAGAATGAAACCCGTCTTATTAGGGGTGAAAGCTTGCAGCAGAGAGCCGAGGAACAAGAAGGCGTATCCCACGAACAGGCCTTTCTTGCGGCCCCATCGGTTGGCGAAATAGGCGACGGCAGGATAGGCAAGCATAGTCGATAAGGACTGGACGGCGTTGATGAAACCCAACCAGGCGCCTTTCGGTTGGCCCATGAAATCCATCCATTGAGGCAGAGCCAACAACCCGTTCATCATCGATCCATCGTATCCGTTCGCGGCGCAAAGAAGACCCAAGAAGACGCAGTAGTAGTTGAGCCATCTGAGATGAGACTTCTTGTACCACGGAAGGCCATCTTTGGGCAAGACAGCTTCAAGCTCGGGGCTGATGCCTCGGCTCTTCTTGGAAACACCCTTCGACTTTCGGAACATGACCTTAGAGTGTGAAGAGACGTGAGCCAATAACAGCCGGGATCATTGAGGACTGTGTAACTGCGAAAAGTCTGCTCGGGAAGAAAAGAAAGAGCCAAGAGAGTTGGTAGTGACAAGATGTACATAATTGCTTCCGACTCGGGACTTTTAAGTCCATGCACAGACACAACCGTCCCAATTCATGATGCGAACTCCATCAAGGACAGGGAATTGTAAGCGCCGCCCCGTGGGGAAACTACTCAGTCTGACATGGGGTAAGTCTGGGGCAGTTAACGTGAAGCGTGTCCGGGAAATATTCGGATTTGAACTTCAAGCTCTTGTTCAGAGTTCACCTCCTTGGCAAACGGGGCTGTTTTTAAATCCTCGACATTCCCGTGTCGAGGCTCCGCTTATCACGGTCTCACATGGCCAGATCCAGATAGAAACAACGTCATTCGCCCTCTAGTGATATCGGATTCCGTCTTTCTCATCTATGGATTGATGCTGAAGTCATGAACTCGTAGATAACTTCAGGTCGCGGGTCTCACGGGTGAGGACCGCCTAGGGAGAGCTACTAACTCTTCACCAAAGTATCGACTTCCAGTCTGAAAGGCTTTCAAACAGTTCTTCAATTGATGCGTTCACACGTGAATTCTAGGTAGAAACCACCAAGTCTGTCTTCCTTACGTGGGGTGACTGCCAAAAATCCAAAAGCGAGATGAACGACTTCCCCGCAAGATCTTACGACAAATAATCGGGATTTGAGGAGAGGTTGGGGGAAAGAGCGGGTCGTCGGACATTTCCGCCGCGTGGACAAGTTCCCAAGAAAGCAGCACCTTCAACTGGGTGGATTCTTAATGAACATAATGAGTCGCGAGGGGTCATAGCTTGCTGGTTGCTAGGCTGTCTGGAGTCTGGACTCGATTCGGTGAATGCTCACTGCAGGGGACAATACGACTCGCGGAGTGTCGGGCAAACTTCGCGCTCTACATCTTTCAGCTCCGACAAACTCCGCAACGCGTTCAAATAGTAGCATCGAAACGTCAGGAACGGGTAATCATCGGCATACCGTTGCCATCTACTACTACAGACCAGGATATCGTGGGTGTTCCCGGACTGAGCGGTCCGTCATACCGTCTGTGCTCCATCACTTGCGTCTTAGACGTCGCATACAATACGCGTTCAGCCAAACGTGCTCATGCGTGCGTGATACTACGCTCATCTTCCTTCATCGAGATTGTGCGGCTGCCCTTGCCTTTTTTATTAGAACATTCATCGATCTGGGAAGCACAGCCCCTAAGACAAGGGCTAACCTTCTGAGCGCTGGGAGCCTCACACAATGGGATTGTAGAACCTCATCCGGTTCTCTGGATCCCACTTCTTCTTCAAGGCCCTCAACTTCTCCAGTCTCCATTCTTCCCACCCATACACAGACTCCAAAGATTCGTCTCCATGCGCATAATTGACGTACGCCCGCAGCCGCTCCGGATCGTCGCTCGCTTCCAGTAGATGCCCCCGCAACCTCTCTCCGTAGCCTTGAGCTAGGGCATCCAGAGACGCGTTTGGCTTGTACACGACGTAAGGGGTAACCAAGAGATCATCATCGCGATGCGGGAAGGCAGAGCTCTTTTCATCGATAGCCTTGACCCCCTGCGTCGAATAGCCCTCCAACATGAAGAACGAGCCCCCAAGCTCGGGAACGGTGAGAGACATCTCGGTCATGTCGTCAAACACTTTTCGAATGGCGGGAAGATCGTATCTCTTTAGCCCGATAGGATACCTGAGGCCAGTGTTGCCTTTGGCACAACCGAGGCTGTCCTCACTCGTAAACACCTTCACGGCCAAGTCGGGCATCGGGGTAGAGCCACTTTCGACACTGACATGCTCGATATCGAAAAGAGGCTTGGCATACTCGACGGTATCATTTGCACTTCCATCGTTGATGATGGCGTACCAGATGATTGGCTAGCAACGTTAGCCATGAAAAGGAGGTGGATCTGCATTCAGAGAACGTACTCTCGACGGATCAATGTCGGGAAGGTTAATGAGGTATATCCAGTGGGCAATCTCAGGCGGTTGCGTCTGCATCATTTTGTTCGTCACTTCCATTACCTCTTCTAGATGCTCAGCTAGGAAGATGAAAATGCTGTAGCCCCAAGCATTGTTCTTGATATCGTAGACGCGGTACTCCCATTCGGTCACAATACCGAAGTTGTGTCCAGCTCCCTGCAAGGCCCAGAAGAGATCGGGGTTGGTCTCCTCTGATGCCGTCACCGCTTCGCCGCTGGGAAGCACAATCCGGGCTGAGATGACTTGGTCTGAGGCCAGTCCGTACTGTCCCTGTAGCCAACCATGGCCGCCTCCGAGAATTGGTGCTGAAAGACCGACGCATTCGCAAAGGCCGGTCGCTTGTGGAGGTAAGCATCTGATCCCTGTCAAACATACTGGGGAAATGGGCTCACTCGTCTGCTTGCCTGCCGCCCAGAGGGCATTGACAACCGTTTTCACGCTTGCGCCGCCGCCTAGAGTTGCCGTCTTTCCATCTTCTGCTATTTCGACTTGGTTCCAACCCCGCAGGTCAATCATGATCGCGTCTTTAGCAGCCTGCAATGCTTCGGTCGCGCCATGCCCACCAGACCTAGCGAGGAAGGGTATTTCATGTTCATTCGCGTACCGGATCTATGCAAGTCGTCATCAATCAATTTTACGGTTCCTTGAAAATCAGTCGACCAGAACTGGTTCTCGTCTCCGGGTAAGTTTAAACGTAAACTTACCGTAGCTGAGATATCACTCTCCGTGAAGACGTTCACGACAGCACCCACGCTAGGCGCATGCCACTCTCCCCATCTGCGTATAGACGAGTCGAATGATGGCTCATCGGGCAGCAAGATAGATGCTTGGGGCGAAAGTTGCGACGCAAGCTCCGTCCAAGACCCCGTCACGTTGTGGGCGAGCAGTGAAGCGAGACCGAGGCGGCCCAAGATCTTCTGCGCAGAGACTGTCTGGTCCAGCGCCCAGGATACGCCAGCGGCCAGTGCCTCCATGTCAAATTTGCAACAGTCAAGTTTCAGCTCAAGAGATGAGAAAGTTATCTGCAAATTATCCCGTCACCTACTAGTGAGTCGCAAAACATTGGAAATTTGACAAGAGAAGTGCGGGGCTTGTGCATGTTTTTTATCTTCGCAGTCAACAGAAGGGGCGGGCATTTCAAAAGCTGACTTATTAGCGAAAAATCTGACAGCAGATCCGCGGCTAACCACACTCGGTCACTGGCCAGTGGGATGAAGAAAACTGGGAGCATCGGTGTGATAGTATGGTTGCTTTTAAGACCAAAGTTCCTTCTGCTGCTCCAGCTTGTGGAGTAGAATGCAACTCTCGCCCTTGAACAAATGTTGTCAACAGACAGGTCAGCATGTCGGCTTGCAAAACAGAGTTTGAAGGCATTCTTGGCGATTTCATCATTTTCCATAGGCCGTATTCCCGGAGTTATCGTGAAGGCAAAGTAAAAATTAACATTATTACGTGGCATATCTTGGCGAAGCCCCGTGCTCTTACTCATAGCTTATTTCAACCCCGAACATCCTTCGCAGAGGCTTACTTTCCTAACCCTCAAGCTCTTAACAGCTGAGATCAAAAACGGGAGTCGAGCTGCCTGCCGGCGTCACGCCGAAGGAGATGTCGGTCTGCGCAGTGTTCGCATCAAGAAGGGTGTACCACCACACGTTGCGCTGACCAAACAGAGCACAGCCGACCTGAGACCAGTAGGTGTGAGCATTCTCGACAGAAGCGACGGCAGCGCCCTGCTGAGGACCGACTACGATAAACATGTTAGTCAAAGACATTTTGAGACGTGTAGCACCGTAACGGTGAGGCTGGGTCTGGGTCTGGTTCAACTTACTGTGCGGCCAGCCAGTCTCGGTAATGTACACAGGCTTTCCTCCTGCAACACTCTCGGTGTTACCCACGGCAGTCCAGAAGTTGTCGGCGGCCTGCTCGATGGCGTTGGGCTTGGTCGACTCGAAGTAGGGGAAGGAGTTGTGGCCGAGCCAGTCAACAGAGGCGGCGACACCGGCATTCTCGCCTCTCACCCACGCGGTCCAGGTGTCGACGTGGCCGATGGGCTTGCCCTCGAGCGCGGTGCCGCGGATCCAGTCCCTCAACCAGCCAATGTATCCCTCAATCTCGGCGCCGGTGGCTCCGACGCCGGCGTTGGCGGCAACGCCATCGGGGCTGCTGCGGTAGAGATCCTCGGATCCGACGCTGATGCCAACGACACGGTCAGTGAAGGCGGTGCCGTACTGCTCGGCGGCGCGCAGCAGAGAGTTGAGCTCGTTCTCGTAGATTCCGCGGCCGGCACTGGCCCACAGGCCCACCAAGATCTGAGTATCGGTGTCGATCGCGGCCTGGTAAGCCGAGATCGGGTCGTTTACCGTGCCGCACTGGATCGATGTGTAGAGACGGGCAGATGCGAAGCCCGATGTTCCGGCCAGGCTCTTTGCGGTGTTGAAGTAGCTCACGAAGTCATCATAGCCTCTGCAAGAGCCGTCTTCGTTGGTGGCTCCGTAGTTGAAGCCCTGCTGGGTCTGGGCCAAGACCGTGGTGGCCAAGGTGGCCGCGACAGCTCCTCTAAGATACATATTGAAGATATTAACCTAAAAATAATAATTGAGAATTAGGGATGGATGAGGGCTTCTGCAAGTCTGGTCGAAGCTGGGCATCTCAGGGTCCTTATTTGTTTACGTTGGGCCATCTTTAAGGTACTTAAAGTGCGCCACATGTTCGGTAGCATGTACAACAAAAATAGCTACCGACAGACACGAGAGAATTTTTGTGCATGACGTCGCTCGCGTGCCTTCGTGGAGCTCGTATTCTTGCCAGCCAAGACGCATCTCACTGCCGTCACCGACCGGTTTTCCATTGGGGTAAACATGGTGAAAGGTGAAAAAAGAATGGTATTGGACCTGGTCGTCAGCTAGTAGTGATCGGCAGACTCAGCCTACAATCTCCACTTGCACCGTCAGTCTAGGCCCCTCCTAACTCGTCATTCCCGTCCAGCTCATCGTCAATGGGGCAGTCTTGGCGATAATGTGCGCTGATTGAGCCCCATCAGTCCGCTGTCGGCTGGGTTGTGTTGTTCGGTCCCCCCTAGAGCACGATCCCCAGCTTGTGTGGTCTCAGACTCTCAGCCCCTCGCAGTCCCTGAGTATTGCTTCCTTTTGGTATTCTAGAGAGATTAACGATAGCCGGGGAAACGTTCCGCCAATTTGACATCCCCTTTCCGCGTGATTACTCCCGCTGTTTTGGTGTGTTCTAGACCTGAAGACTGGTCTCGGTAACTGGAACCCCAGCAGCGCATCAACTGAAAAATGGCGGTGGAGTGTCTCTGATTCAACATATTGTCTGGTTTTCACGTCGTGTTCCATGCAGAATCCCGAAGGATCTTATGCAAAATGGCTTACCATTCCATGCGATGAATCATGTTTTGCGCTACATGCAGCCAGCTGTATGCATCGCAACACAAGAATTACACATTTTTCTTGACTGCGAGGAAAGTTCAAGGTGCGATCCTGATGCCATGCAGGGACGACAGCACGAAGCGGGTCGGTACCTGAATTCCAGGCCCATATCCCCGGGTTCACGGCTTACTGCGGCGTACTTGTGTACCAATTCTTTTGGTGACATGAAATCCGCAGGCATACACACATGATCATTTAATTCATATACACAATCTCTAGAACAGTTCCGTGACTGTTATGAAAATTGAGGCTCTGCATGACCATGTGCACGTCTGGCTATGCTTCACTGGGGCCCCCTGAGTGAGCCTAAATCTGCCGCCTGGGCCCCGGCTTGGCCAAGATGCCGTCCGAAGGTTCCGGCTAGGGTCCAAGAAACTGGAGCAACAAGACGGCCGGTGAACGGGCCGAATGAGACAATACTGGCTGCATTCGGTGCTGATCTTTAACTGAAGCAGATGATCAGGGGATCGAACAATTTCTCTGCATGTGGTCGAGTTCGCCTTATCAGTTGCCAGAGAGAACGCCGAGCGTCCTTCCGGCGCTCATTGGTGTCTGTATTACTACACATTAACTATGTAATCCTCACTGTCACTTGTGTATCTGTACGTGACTGCGAAAATGACCCTGTTGTTACATCTGTCCTGGCATCATTTCATCGTCTTACTCCATCTCCCAGAGACAAGGGATCGGGCATCCCGATGCCCTTCCATCCTCACTCTCATCAGCTTGCGCAGGACGGACGATCCGTAGCATGTAGCGATCACGGCTAGAACTGCCGAGGTTCCGCATACGCCCGGGAATGCCCAGTTGTAGTCTACAATATAGTTAGATATATTCATGCCGTAGAAGGCAGAAAAGAAGGAGCCGGAAGCAAGGCCAAGCGTCCCCATGCGGTATTTGAGGTCGAGTAACATCAACGAGTTGCGGTTGGCATCGAGAATGGCGCTGGCACTAGAGGCAGGCCAAGACGGAAGAAACGGTCAGAGGGGGTTCTAGAAACTGAAGCAATGGTGTGTGACACAAACCTCTCTTGGGTGTTCCGAATGCTGGACACCAGACTCTGCGCCTCCTGCACGATCTCGTTGAGAGCGTTGTAGTACGACCCCAGCAATGACTCTGCCGCCGTGAGGTCGTCGTCCACAGTCTTTGCCAGGGCATTCGGGTCTGCCTTCTCTGTCAGATACAGAGCGGCAAGACTGTCGTCCCAATCGAGGACATCTTCGACAGCGCCGAGGACCAGCTCCGCTTGCGCCGCAATCCAGGTTGCCCTGCCGGACAGGCCGAACAGATTCAGCAACACGCGGCGATCCACATCATCTTCGAGAGATGCGAGAACACGATCAGCCGGGTGTCGCACAGCCGCAAGCTCTCCCTCGAGCTCCGTTACAACAGAGCTTAAGACAGCCTCTATGGCAAGGAACTCGAAGGTGGCTTGCGGCTGCGCGTATGTCTCGTCCTCCTTGCGCTCGCACGCTACCTCGGCCAACGCCGCATTCCTCTGTTTTATTGCTTCGCCGATGTCGCGCAGAAACGCTTCGCGGGAGGTAGGACTCGTCGCATCGTCAAAAATAAGGGCTCGATCGCGCTGCACTAACACCTTCAGGTGGAACAGGTGGATGAGAACGGTCGAAGGCCGGATGCCAATGTGGGAGAGTGTCGAAAGCTCAATCTTGCGAATGTCGCGAGGGACAAGGCCGTAGCGTGTGGTGAGCTCGGTTTTCTTCGCCGAGATATATCGCACTGTCACGTCGCCATTTTCGTCCACCTCGGTGCACCGAAGGCGCTTCGGCTGACACGGGATTGCGCTCGGGGTGCTGGCGGTCGGGGGAGCAGAAGCTTTGGTGGTGATCGATCGAACGGTCAATGGATGTGCTGTGAAGCAGATGCGGTAGGAATGTCGAATTAGGCGCATGGCCATCGAGGCAGGGCTCGACAGGTGTGTTGTAGATAACGCAGCTGGGATAGCTCTTGCGTCCGAGCATGGATCAAAATTAATTGATGATTATTTGCAAGCCACATTCTGCCGCCACAATCTTCAGCCACTCAATGTGCATAAATGGTGGATGCTTTTGTCTGATGCAATGTAGGGAGCTTAAAGACCAGCAAATCGTTGTAACCAGAATATACAGTACTTCAGTTGAGGAATAACATCGGACCACTTTTATTCTCTAGGCACCCTTTCCAACAGTTCCGGCGAGATATTAATCTCTTCCAGATGAATGAAGCTGAAAAGCAAAAGACGGACGACCAAACAAGATACGTTTCACAGCAGTAATGGACGATGCCGATTGCCAGTCTGCCGGATTCTCGGATCCGGTCCGGCGTTCAAGCGACCCCTTTCCCCTGTTCGATCTACCACTCGAATTGCGGGAACAAATATACTGCTATCTGGTCTACTACGGCGGAACCGTGAGCCTTTCGAGACGACCCTGGGGGATTTTGATTTACACAACAGAGGCTCGGTTCAAACCTGACACTGCCATCTTGAGAGTGAACAAGCAAACATACTCCGAGGCCATGCCGTTGCTCTACAGAAGCTGCATCTTCGACCTGGGATCAGATACAAACGAACAAACTGTCAATGAGTTCTTCGGCAGGTTCTCTAAACAAACGAGAAGAATCATCCTCCGCGTAACCATGTTTCCTCGGCGCTTCTTTGCAACCGTTCCACGCATCCCCTGGGAGCCGGCGTGTCTGGCTGTTGCTGCGCTGTTGCCTGCCCTTCAGGAGGTCACCGTCGTACTCAATCCCAATGACTACCCGTTTCTCTTGGGCGAAGATGGAGCGGCGGATTGGATTATGGGACCGCTCTCCAATATCCGTGGGGCGCAGAAAATATTGCAAGTGGTTGAGACAAGTCCGAACAGCAAGCGAGTTGTCGCACGATGGAACGAGTTGGCGAAAGCTGCGGACTCGGCACGGCGTAAGCGAGAAAGAGCTGGGCGACGCAAACTACCTGCCTACTAGTAGTTTCCTGGAGGTGCGCCGGCGGCTGAGTCTGGATAGCGAAGTTGATATTGACCGATCGTTGGTGAAAAGGCAAAGATGGCCCGTATCCCGTGCTATGACATCAGTAGTGCGACGTGGATATTCCTCTGCAAGACCATTGAAAGGTTTCATTTGTCTAATCAAACGGGGTACATTGGTAGCCTTTACACCACTACACCACTCTCTGCGTACCGGATAACGTATCCATAAACAGACTATATACCACTCTTTTCGAACGACAGAGCAGCTTAAGCTAAGAAAATTGTTTCCGGAGATGACTGCCCAAGAGCGGACTCCCACGCGTCAGCATGGATCTGCCCAACAGCAACCCGTTCCACCCACATACCCTTCCTTTCGACCAACATAATGTTTAGGGCCCACCATCTTCGGTACTTATACGCCGTCGTATCGAATATTTCTTCGTAGTACTCTTTGGCAGAGGGGTACTCCGGAGGCAAGTCGGTGCTCGGCGTAGCGTCAATGTTAGCTTGCAGGACCTCGTCTTGATCGCTGCGCGACAGCAAAATTATTTCCCATTTCTCTTGGTCATGATATTTCGAGAAATTGATGCCACGAAGTGTTCCGCAGTGTCGTCCATTGCTGTCATACACCCAGCCTGCGCGGGTCAAATTTCCCCGAAAGTAACGACTGCAAGCCGGGTCGAAGTTCGGGAGTTTAATCTCGAAAGGTTTGGCAACGATGCCATGTGCTTTGAACATGAGAGTGTTTGGCGGGACATCAATCTCCAGATGATCAGAATCCGGCATATTTGGCTGCTTCTCAGACGGTGATGACGCAAGAATTTGGCCGTTGGGGCTTCCTGGTTCGCCAATCTTCTTAAACCCGGTTCTCTCGCTGATCCAGTAACCTCCGACCTCAGACTTTGTAGTCACTGCTTTCCCTATGAATTTGTCTTGTCTCCAGGGATCCCAGAACACATACCCGTCCCACGCCGTCCAACAACAGGTAGGCGAGCGGCAGAGCTGGACATCCGGGTCATGCTTCGCTCTTTCTCTTGGTCGAAGCACACCGCCGAAAGGCATCCCCCAGAAAGGAAAGACTCGAAGTTACTTTCCGGGATAGCACTGACAAACGACCAGCCATACATCTCTCCCATTTTCGAAAGCAGCCCGGCAAAAGCGCTCAGCGAATCGGAATGATAAGAGAGATTTCTGTTTGAAACTTCTTTGACAAGACTCTCATAAAAGTCTCTCCGAGACATGTCGACAGAGCGTGAAAGAAGACTGGTGGAGCTGTTGTCCCAAAGTCTCACGTTTCGGTGGGAGTACGCAGTGCCGCTTTCCGAAGCCCGACGAGAAGAGCAAACCCAGTACACTTGGTAATCGGTGAGGTAGATCCGGTTCCTGGAAAAGACAGCTTCTTGGAAAGTCCAAGCTCTCGTCTTCCACTTCGAGTTCCACATGAGTGGCAAGAGAGCGGGAGACTTGGCTTCCAGCAGTCGAGCGCCAATCTTGATTGGGGTGTTTGGTTTCTCACGAGGATAAGAGACGCCCGGCAGACCTTTGTTGGCATCCTTTCCTGTTGTAGCGATGATTGTTGCCACGGCTGATTGGTATATCAGGTGCATTCGAGGGATGTATCGTTCTTTGAACGCGTCATCATCTTGTACAATGCACAAGGAGTCTACCCAAAGATAGCGTTGCTTGATCTTGGCGGTGAATACAATGGCGTCCTGGATGACTTGTGGTATTTCTCCCATAAAGCCGTTCAAAGAGGCAGGAAGTTGTAGACTGTGAAAATTGGCCTTCTGGCTCCGAAATGTTATGAGGCTTCCCCAGACGTAGCTGAGGGCAACGTAGCGACAATTCCAGGGCTGATGGACGAGGCACATATCTTGGACATCAACCAGCCAGATGCCTGTGTTTCCCTCGAAATATGGGCTTATCCCCACGTTGCACTTGTCATGTAATCGACACTCCTCAACCCAGGAGCTGATCAGATCGTAGCTCAACTCTCTAGTCGTCAAGTTCTGGGTGCTGTCGTTGGTCCCGTCTTGCAAAGGCAGGCCGATGAATCCTAGTAATTTGTAGCTTCCAAAGATTCCCCCTGGCATAGACTCAGACGTGATATCGCAGTAGACGTTGATCAGTGACGAAGATGATGCAGCCTTTTGCTCGTCAACGAGTAGATAACACATTTGATTGGGATACTCTCCTGGTTGCCAGTGTGGGTCTAGGTGAACATAGAATGCTTGAACAACTAGTTGGCAGAATGAGCAATCCTCGCTTTTGGCAACAATGTCGTAAAAAAGGCCGAGCTCCAATTCTATAGCCTTAGGTATGATGTCGAAAAAGGCGTCCAGGGGAAGGGTGCTGCAACGACTGCAGAGGTGGCTTGGCTGATCCTGGAGATCCGGCATGGTTGCGTGCGTGGAGCATGAGTGCTCCCTCCAAAGGGGACCCTAGCGATGACTGTTTACCTCCGTTTGGAGACGCCGGTGGTGAGACCGAGTCATCCAGATGAAAATATGCAGCAGTACAGCTGGATAAGGTCGAGGAGCGTGATGTGTTGTGTGAGGGGGATCGGCAATAATGCAGGCTACTCAACGTGGGACCAGCGCCGTATCCAATGGTCTTGCTGCCTGCTGATTGCGGGTACCGCATCTTGCATACCTACCCTCACTAAGTATTTCTGCGGTCGTCTACGGATTAGGTGTGCCCCAAGGGTGAGAAGCACAGGCGCAAAAGCTCTAAAAGATTGAAAGTACGGTGAATTCGTATTCACAAACTGGATGTATCAATATGTGCAGTTGAACTTTTACCATTCTTGATGAATTATTGGACAGTCTAAGTACATTTTGCCAGGAAACCCCTCCTCAGAATCGTTTCCACGCAAGCTGGTTCTCGTACATGAACACGAGCGGCCTCTGCGGCGTACCCTCAGCAGGCTAACGGTCTTTCCCTCTAGCCCTATTTCTATCCGCCTGGCCTGTCTAGCTTATGCCTTGCCTTTCCATTGTTTGAGCCTCCGGATGTCGAGGTCTGGACTGGGGCTTGGAAGAACAAATATGGCGGCAAACAGTACGATCAAGAGCTTCAATCCTCGCCCATCTCATCATCCTCTTCGTCGATGTTGCGGAAAGCGTGGTCGTGGGCAATCATGCTCAGGGCGCAGTAGTTGGGCTGGATCTTCTTCTTCTTCTTCTGGTCCTCATCGCTCTTGACAAAGCTCCTGGCCTCATTTCCAATCGAGATGATGAATGACTCCAACACGTTGCGGGTGATGTATGTGCCAGGTGTACCCCAATAGCGAGTGCCCACACGAATCTCCTTGGTGATGGCATTGGCCACGCCGGGGCTTTGTGTCTTCGTCCGCCAGCCAGCGACAGTGACGGAAACTAGGAACACCCACCAGATGTATCGAGGACGAGGACGAAAGTTGGTCAGGAACTTGAGCCTACGTCCATGAAGCTCAAGAAGAGTGTGAATACCTTGACTGAAGCTGAGTGTCTTCTCTTCAGTGAGGGTCGGATGGGAAGGATCGATGATGATAATTTTGTACTCCTTCACTTCCAATTTCTCCCACGCGCGCAGGCGTTGCTTGCGCTCCTCGGTGTCTTTCAAGGGAAAATCGAGATCAGCAGGCTCCAGACCAATATCCGGCACGATAGCCAGCACGCCGTCATCCAGGGCTTGTTCAATGTCTTTATGAAGGAAGAGACCGTTCTGCGCTTTGAACAGCTCCTTGACGGTACCCGCGCCGAAAATTGTGTCCATCGAGTCCCTGAAACGATGTGGAAAGAGATGTACAGTATGAAATATCTCGCTCCGATTCCATTCCGCGAGTACAGGATCCCAGCAGCAATTTTTGTAGGGACGATCAGGACAGTACTTCTTCAGCATGTGATCTGTGAATGCGAGCTGGTCCTTATCATCACGTTTGTTGACCGCGATGTTGATCTCCATGGACTGCTTATGAGCGAGGTACTTGGTGGACCACCTGTGGTTATTGTCTTTTGCTAGCCAGTCCTCGAGAGTCTTGACTTCACCTTTGTCCTTGGCCTCAAGGAAGTTGACGTGTGCCTCCAATGCGACCTCGTCCATGTGCATTTGCTCGATGTCAGCGCTGTCGGACCAGAAGCGGGAACCGGACGACTTCAAGGGTTGGACCTTGACTCGCTTCTCCTTTAACTTATACGTGAGAAGCTGGCGCTGGTAGTCGAGTTCCTTCTGCGTCCCGTTGTTGAGGATGTGAAGTCTGTCGGACCAAGGGACACTGGGCGCAGGGCCCTTGCCCTTGAATGCTTCTGCCATGGCGCCAGAAAAGGAAGAAAGCGATGCTGGACGAAGACAGCAAAAAGAATGTCTACCGACGGCGAAGGAGGACAGAGACGACGGACGAAAACGGCGATAATGGTTGCCGTTTGAGAATGGAAGAGTGCTGTAATCTAGTGAATGGGTAAGGCGTCAGGCGAAGGTGAAAAGTCTGCGGCCAATTTTAAGTCTGGAAAGCAGGCAGGTACGTGGTGGGCGGACGAAATCACCCAAGGAACCTACCTTCCTTCCTTGATAGAGTTTATTTGACACGTCTCCGATACACCTGAGAGGCAATTCTCAGGTTCTTGAGCTCTTTGAGTTCACAGACGCTCTTTGAAAGGCCTTCAGCTGGATCTTCACCCTGAGACATAGCTAGGAGAAAGCCTGTTCTTCCTGAGAGCTGCTGCGACCTTCCGCGCCTCCTTTGTTCGCCGCATGGTGATCGCGTTGGTCAAAACCATGGTCGATGTCTCGCGGCTGAAAATGCGAGACAGAAGCCGAGTGCCGTCGCTGGAATCTTCTCGAGCCAAAGGCCAATGAAATATATTAAACAGACGCCAAAATTCTGGTATTGCCATATTAATGCAAGCTCCAGGTACTCCGGACGTTTGACTAAAAGACCTTAATGTGCCTCGGCGGTGCTGGAAGAGTGGGATGCTGATGCGAATAACCATTTTGTCCTCGTGTTTTGGGGGGCTATGTATTCTGGGCAGGGCTTAGAATCTGTCGAGATCTAGCCATATTGGTAATTTCAACAACCTTTCGCGTTATCCCAGCCACCCATGATCCAGGTTTTACACTTGTCCAGCAATTTTGGGGTGCGTATGACTACTTAGAGCCCAGTGAGGTACCCAACTCGGGCAACCCTTGCCGCCCCTCGTTTTCTCGCGACCACAAGATACCTTTCTTCCCTCAAATAACGGCCTGGCCAATAGCCTCGGCCAAATCAAGCACCTCGGGCAGGGGTTTCGTCGCGCCAGATTGAACAGTCGAAATCCACTCGTCCACGGCCTTAATAAGGCTCGTCGCCTTCCTCGTGTAAGTGCCTTCCGCGCTTCCAGACGTTCCCCCGTCGTCTTTGATATCCATGCGAAGGTAGGCGAGTCTTGCCTGAATCAGCGCCTCCAGCATCACGTCGCAAGTCGAGGCATGAATCGGGTTCTTCCTAATGTTCTTCTGCAAGGTTCCGCCGCCGATGACTCTGGTAACCAAGGTCTTCGAGAGCTTGACGAAGAAGTCCTTGCGCCGTCCGTCGAGATTTTGACTATGTCTGCTGTAGCTGTACTTGAGGTTATTGGCCTCGCTCATCAGAGTGCGAGCAAATTTCGCGAGGCTGACTCGGTCGCTCTGCAAGCCATCCAGGCCGAGGCTGCGGCAGAGGTTGTCGGAAACACCTGCTTGAAGGGGTCTGGCGTTCTCGAAAGAGAAGCCGGCGCTGAAAGCGTCTTTGAACGTCTGGCTCAGATGGGCGAGCGCCTTCTCCAGCTTTTCGTGTGCGTTCATTTCGGGGCGAGGAGTGCGGATGGCGGCGGCGCCTGGCATCGGTCATCATATCGAAAATCGAGCAGAAGTGATGATCCGCTGGCTTTGCTTGAGGTGAACATACCGATTTTTTTCTCGCGGTTCTGAATCATCTTCGCAAGGCCACGACGTCCCCTCGCTTTGCGCACCGCGCGTTCCGAGATGGGTTCGGTGCTCTGGATGGTATGGCCGACGGCAGGAAGAGCTGGGGAGGGTGCAGAGGTTGGATTCTCGTGATCGATTTCCATCTCGTTGAAGGAGGATGTCATCTCGGCGATAGGCTTTGGGTCTGCCGTTTTAGAGACTTGCCAAGGGAAGCGTGCTAGCAAATGTTGTTGGAGGTGAGAGCAATTTTCGAGGTTGCGGGAGGATTGGAATGCCCAAGTTAGTGTGGTGTAGTCAGCGCCTGAAGAGTTTTCCTGGGAGCAAGTTTTTGATGTATTAGGTGATTTTATGAATACTATGAATAGCCGATGTGGAATCGGGGTGAGTCAAGGCTTTGTGAAGCAAAGTGAATAGCGTGCTGAGCCATGATGTTTGTGGGGAGTGTGCACCTGGACGACTACGGCCTTAGCAAAGGAAGATTAGTTGTAAAGTCCAGAAAGTTCACAACTATGTTGGGACAGGAATTTTAGCATACAGCTCTACTCCAGGAATGGAAAGACAGAAGATATGATATGCATCATCCTATGCTATGGATTTCAAGTCTCTACATGTCCCTTTCACATCCAGTAACATGCAATGGATGTTTTGTTTTCATGAGACACAAGGAATGTGTTTTTTGCTACGCTACGCTGTGGATCCTACCGTCGCTTTCGCACAATCGCTAAGTCCCTCCAAAAATATCATGTCAATATCTCAAACCGATTCGTGTTCTTGGTCGTCCCCAGGTTGCTGCCTAATAAGGAAATTCATTGGATAGGCACGCTCGATTGCGACGATTGCGACACCGAGGTCGTCGCGTTCATCCCCCTCTCGCTCGGGACACCCCATAGCAAGGAAGAACCCGTTTCCAACCTTCTCATCTAATAGCCCTACTGCGCTTTTCCCCCAGTAACACACGGCCTTAATCACCTGTTTCTTGGTGTTCGCAGCGTGAGTTGTGTGCTCATAGTTTTGTAGGCATCGCCATGACGCAACCAAGGCCGCAGACAGGAATGACCACCAGACAAAAGAAGCTCGGGGTCGCCCGGACGTCATGAACCTCAGCTTGTGGCTGTGAAGCGAACCAAGTTCGCGTTCAGCAACCCCATATTTCGTTGTGATCTTACACGTGTCCTGGGCCAGCGGGTGCGCTACATTAATGACAATCAACTGATAGTCCTGGACGTTCTGGTCAAGCCAGTCGTTGAAGCGCTTTTCAAAGAGTTCGGTCTGAGTTTGGTCGATGTCTGACGGGGGTTCCATGCCGAGGTCAGGGACGATCGCCAGAACGCCCTCTTTAATCGCCCTTGAGACGGAAGGAGGGAGGAAGAGTCCGTTGTCGGCCATGTTTACATGGTTGGATGGGCAGTCGAATATCCTAAGCATATTATCTCTGGACCTGTAAGGGAACAGAAGGGTAGAATCGCGGTAGCTCAGACCCGCGTTCGTTCCACCGAGCACAGGATCCCAAACAGAGTTATTCTCCAGACCGGAACAGTACAGCTCGGCCATAGTCAGACGCATTCGTTGATGGTCAACCCGAATACCATCGTCTAAGTACTCTCTCCCAAAGTTCGAATAGTTGAATTGTAGTTTCGCTTGTAGAATGGCCGAGGGAGCGGAGGTTTCTGAAAATGCACAGCGTCTGGCGATGTGCTCAAGCTCCACGAGCGCCAGAAACCTGGTTGGATAATACTTGTGGGGTTTCAGGTCCGTCGCCCAGTCCTCAAAGTTAACGATTTGACGGTGGGCTTCACTTGCCGCAGCTTCCAAGGCATCAACATGGGCCATGAATACGGTGACTCTCTGCAGCAATTCTAAGCGTTGTGTGTACAGGATCCAGAAGTCTGGCCCCTGGTTGGGACCGAGGGAAGATTTCATGGCGTCTGTGTTTGCCTCCACGGCTTTCGTGTATTCTTCAACTTGATGGACTAATCTTTGCAGAGTCCATGAGCTGTATTCATCGGCGTTCGTCCAAGGGACCGTACGTCTGACAGCTGCAGCCTCTGAGAAGAGTGGGCGACCCATTGTGATCGAAATCGGTGAGACGTATTGGGCAGAGAGGTATGAGATAGAGAAATATTAGACGGTGAAGTATCGGACAAAGAAGTATTAGACAGGGGAGAGGATGGGAGAGGATGAGAAACTGACACGATGAATTCAGTCGTGGGTGTCCATGGAATATATCCTATACGATTATGACTGACCTTCAGTTTTCTATTTTGATGGTTCCTTAGACGGCTGCCAAGGCAGTCAGGGCTTCCATGATACCTTTTGGACCATTCGCTCAGCGAACTTCGGTGTCGCAGGGATTTTCTAAACGACGATTGGAGTTGTTGACCTTAAGGGCATGGAAAGTTCATGCAAAGCTGTGAAAGTAGCTCCACAGATCATTACCGGGTTTTAATTCGAACCATGATCCGTAGTGGTGTTGGAAACCCTCCTCCTTTATGTCTCCAACTCGCAAGGGTTCCCACTCCAAGTTGCGCTGTCGGGAGGATATGAAATGCAATAATACAACACGCTACATTGAACATCTCCAGTCTGGTCTGTGTAGATGAATGTAAATTTTGCAACAAATCCTCGCAATTCATCTAGTGAAACTTCTTGGTACTTTGCACTACTCTACGGTCTTCCACAATTTGCGCTGTTGCAGCGTTGAAATCTTTCGATTGGCCGATGTTATTCTTCGACCTATCTTGATACCACAATTGGACGCAAACTAAACTTCCATCACATAATCTGTCTGGTAGAACTTCGAGCATGAGTCAAAAGAGTGATCGAGCAGATCCAAGAGGTGTTGAAATGCGGTAACGACTGCTTGTTCAGAGTGATCGAAATGCAAAAACTCAACGAATGTGACACGCCGTGCTCCTCCCTCCATCCTGCGCGTCGCATTTCCCAGATAGTGCCGAATGCACTGCTACTCCCTCCCGAATGACAGTCTTAATTCCGTGTCATTCCAAAGACCTTACCCCACGATTTGGAGAATCAGCTAATGGCTGACTGATTATCTTAATGAGGTCTCAGAACAAGTATCGGTGCCTTCAAGCTAGAGAAGCTACTTGTAGTTGCACTTGGTAGTCCGCTTGTAGCTGTCCCATGTGCACTTACTGCCATTCCGAGGGCACTAGAGAACAAGGTCAAAACGTTAGGGCGATTCAACTTGAAGACCTGCGTACTACAAGGAGTCGAAACTCACCCTCTGGTTGGCAAACCTTGGGCACCGCACAATGGTGGTCTTGCCCTTTTGCCCCTTGAATTTGCACGTGTCCTCCTTATAGTTTCTGCCTCTGCTGCATTTCTGCGAAGAAGACAAAATTGAATCAGCATCAAGTCATACCGGGATGAAGGATTGTGTAGGATGGGAACGTCTGCTAACCCCAGTGTACGTTATGAACGTGTTCATGTCCTCTCCGCCGGAGACTCCGACGTCTAAGCCGCTGCCATCAACATCAACGGGATTCGCCGCCGCGCCGATGGCAGCGAAAAGGAAGAGCGCAACTTTAGCAATCTGCATGGTGAACGGTGTCGGATGAGGATATTGCAAAGACAGATGGGATGGATAATTAATATGGGTAAAAGTGTCTCCAAAGCGTCTGAGAAAGCGATGGTGTCGACAAATTTCAACATCAGATAGTCGTTTAGCCTCCTTTTATGGGAGTTCCGCGATCTTTGAATCCAGTGGCCAGCAAGTCACTAGCCTCTGTGCCCAGCGTTGCAACAGTAATATCCTCTCTTCCCCGTTGTTGCCTTTGACTTGCACGCGATGATATACATCGTTGTTAGCTTCATCCGCAGTTAACTGTGATCATCTGCATAATGATAGACAAGATGATAGTGATAATCATTGAGCCACTGCCATGTATTAGACACGGTAAAGGTAGCACTGGATCAGCCCGTAGCCCGTGTCATGTGTTGGACCATGCTGACATTTGGTGTTAGCATAAGCAGCGGCGTTGGACATGATAAGACTCGCGTAACAGATTATCGTGTATCGACACCTTATGAACTTTAGTCTCGAGAAAATTCACAGTCTCGTCGCTGGATGTGATCTTCTTGGGCGTCGTTATCCACTCATGAGTTCACAATGACTGCAGTGTCGCCTGGTCCTATGTCACAAGTTTCGTGACGCTTCCACGTCCACAACAGCATTCCTATGTCCAACCTGGGCATCACAATAGAAGGCCATCCCACCGCAGCTCAAGATTGATTTGTTCTGTTGCCGAAGAGGAAGTATTCGTGTCGCCTCTACCTTGAAAACTTCGTGATTTTGTTGTGTCATAGAAAAGTCTACAGCGCATCGAATCTAATTACTCCGATAAGCCGCTACTTGAGCTTACGCATATCATGTATCTATCTGCCAGCAAATTTGTGAGTCTCGAATGCATATTTCGGATCCAACAGTGTAGGTTTCTTGGACTGGGCTGGCCCTCACCGGCTTGCTCGGTGACACTCGGTCATCTCGGTGAACAAACGCCGACCAGGACCCACACTAGCACAATCGCAGCACCAAAGTCCAAGCTTCCTTCCACAGCTCCCAATCCCGTTTTCTGCGAAGCTCAACATCACACCCTCCCTTGCACACCTCAACCTACCGCTCCCAAATCCAACGCAATGCTCGCCTCCCGCGCCCTCGCCCGGGCGCGCCTATCCCTGCTCCGACCCCTCCGCACCCCACCACGCACCACCACAACCCCCCTCCGCAACACCTCAACCTCGTCAACCTCCCGCGCCGCCGAACGCCTGCTCGACCGCGTCCCCTCGCGCTTCCAGCGCTACACCACCGGCCTCCGCAAAGCGCCCCTCTCGCACATCGTCGCCTTCCTCATCCTCCACGAGATCACCGCCATCGTCCCGCTGCTCGGCCTCTTCGGCCTCTTCCACTACACGGACACCCTCCCGCTGGAGTACGTCACAGGGCACTGGGCCGACTACGTGCGCGACGGCGTCGGCAAGGCGGAGCGCTACTTCAGTCGCAAGGGCTGGTTCGGGTTTGGGGCGGAGGATCGGGGCACGATGACGGGGGAGCTGGACGCGAGCGCGGGGCGGCTCGAGACGCGCGAGGTGGAGAAGAGGTGGGCGAAGGAGGAGGGAGCGGTCACGGGGAGCTTCGAGTACAGGACCACGCGGCCGACGGAGGAGAGCGCGAGGAGCACGCAGGATGTGCTGCAGAAGTGGAAGGAGGATGGGAAGTACAAGGTTGTGGTGGAGGTTGCGATTGCGTGGGGCATCACGAAGGCGCTTCTGCCGGCGAGGATACTGGTTAGTGTGTGGGCGACACCGTGGTTCGCTGGTGTGATGGGCAGGGCGAGAGGGTTATTTAGGTCCAGCAAGTAGAAACAAAACATCACGATCAATCAAGAAATCGAGAGCATTATGTTGGGTGTGGCTTTTTATTGCCTTTTTGTTTATATTTTTGAAGACTTTTCTGTATCAACCTATCGACGTGACGGCATGTGTCCTACGCATCCTCCGTGTAGGAGAGCGTTTGGGACATCTAGAGCTTGTTCGGAGGTAGATGAGAAATCTAAGGCTTCTCGTAGATCCAGTCGAACTGGGCAGTCTTCCACTGAACGGCCTCGCCGTCCTTGAACCAGAGGGCAATCTCCTTCTTGGCGTTCTCGACGGAGTCGGAGCCGTGGCAGACGTTGCGGCCGACATCAATGGCGAAGTCGCCACGGATGGTGCCGGGGGCAGAGGCAAGGGGGTTGGTGGCACCGAGGATGGCTGGAGGAGAGAGCGATTAGCAGGAGGTTGCAGGAGCAGGAGAGTGATGCAGGACTTACTGCGGCCGGTCTTGACGGCGTCACGGCCCTCCCAGATCATGGCGCAGATGGGGCCAGAGAGCATGTAGTTGATCAGACCGGGGAAGAAGGGCTTCTCCTTGAGGTCAGCGTCTAATGGCGGTTAGCTATGTGTGGTGACGGCGGAAAGCGGCAGGTACGAACAGTGAGCCTCGAGGTGCTCCTTGCCGGGAGTGACAAGCTTGATGGCGACAAGCTTGAAGCTGTAGGAAGCGAGTCAGAATTGGTTGCCACGTATGAGGTTGTAGGGCGTTGATGGGCTGACTTACCCACGGCTCTCGAAGCGAGAGACGATGGGGCCGATGAGGCCGCGCTGATGGACAGTTAGCTTTCTGCCGCGATCAATTGGCAGCGTGCCGGGGTGGTAAAGCGTACCTGAACGCCGTCAGGCTTGATGGCAATGAAGCTATCTCGAGGTCAGCTCAAATTCTTCAAGTTTGGTTGTGTGCCCCTCTTTGTCCGCCCGAAACCTCCCACGATGGCGGGGTAATTTTCAGGGTAGCGGCAGGGCTTCGAGACAAAGACAGGCAGCATCGCGGTGCAGCTGGCCGTCGGGAAGGCATCATCAGGGAGAAAAAAAAAAGCACTTACGTCTGCTCGGTAGACATCTTGGGCGAGTGATCAACGACGACTTCGGGTATAGAAGAGGGTTGTTGTTGGTAGATTGTGGTTGTGACAACGGAGGGGACAACGGGAGAAGAAAGGTCTGCTGCTGACCGCTGGTTTTGTTGGCTGGAGGAAAAAATTATGTACAAGCCGAAGAGGGCAGCGAGAATTATGAAAGTTGGTGGGGGCAGCTGTTCGATGCTCCTACGGATGTCTGCCCACTCAGGGAAGGGACTGCCGCCAGTTGTGCGTGCATTACCGCCGCCGGGATGTGCATCTGGGCCTGCATTGTTGTGCTGTTGCTTCTTGTGCTTCGAGGCGGGGTCTTCATCCTGCGGCATGTGGTGGGGTCCGGGTTGGGCCATGGCGGCTGCGTGGCTGCGATTGGTGCTTGACGCGCTAAGCTAGCTGAGGCGCACAGTGAATCAAGCTTGTGACACGGCAGCGGTGCACTGTTGCTGGGCACTGTGGCAGACCGCCTAAATTGGACAGCTCAGCAAAGCAACCTTCCAGAGCTGTGGGTGGAGGGCGTGGAGGAGCCATTGGAGGAACATACCGGAGGGATGGCGAGGATGGAGATGATTCGAATCAAGAGCGGGAGTTCTCGTTAGAGGAATGCTTGGATGTTCGAATTGACAAGCAATTGATGGCGTCTACGCCGGACCGGAGAGTTGTTTTCTGTTTGTTTACCTCGCTTTACCCTCCCGGCCGACTGATACTCTAGGTGATGCGACCTGATGCAAGGCACCCGACACCGAGACAGTGCGCTGAGTTCCAAGCTCAGGCACACACGGTGCTTGGTCACTCTTAGCTGCATCAGCCGTCTATCTCGATATCTGGAGACCCCTCACCGCCTGACTAGCATATCAAGCCGTATCCAATTGAACACATGAACAACACCAAAATCGACAGATATTAGATCCATCGTGAAACAGATACGACGATTGTCCCGTTGAAAAACACACGTGTCAGGCGGATTGAACCCTGATGGACTGCAGCATCTCCCCGTCCTCGACACCCATGGCGGGGTAGGTGACATCAGAAAGAAATATGCAACAAAGGAGAACTGTACCTCCATATTCGAGTATGCGGAGTTTCCGACCAACCCCTGTTCCCACTCCGTTGCAGCTCCAGGAACAGCGCTAAACCTGAAAGAGAGCTACCAAGGGGACAGCTGTTGAACTTCGGCCGTCTCACAATTGGCAAGTGGCCGCCCATCAACGACATTCCGTCCCATCACCCCCAAGTACTCGAATCCATCCACGAGAGAGCGCAACAAAGAAGGCCTGGCTTCTTCTGCTCTCATGTTCTACTCGTGATTTTTCTACCTTCTCCCTATACTTACTTTCCCCTACGTCTTTCATACGAACAACCAGACACAGATCCCCTCGCCATGGGGTCGACAGGCAAGCTGTCCTGCAAATGGACAACTTACCTTGGTCTGCTGGCCGCGTTCAGCTGCATGATCCAGCCTGCCGGTAAGGAATTCGGTGACGCCATGATTTTGTGACGCCATGACCCTCTTCCTACTTCAACTTCTTTGTTGATGAAACCATTTGCTGATGGACAACCGCAGTCATGGTCAAGGAAAACGATTTCAAAAAGTGCTACCAGTCTGGCTTCTGCAAGCGCAACCGCGAGTACGCTGACAATGCCGACGCCCTGGGTCCCAACTGGGCGACTCCTTACAACGTCGCTCCCGAGTCTGCCAAGTTCGCCGATGGCCAGCTGCAGGCCGTCATCGTCAAGACGATCAACGATGCGAAGGACACCGTCAACCTCCCTATCACCGTCTCTTTCCACGAGTCGGGTACCGCTCGCGTGAGCGTCGACGAAGAGAAGCGCCAGAAGGGCGAGATCGAGCTGCGACACAACAGCATCGTCAAGAAGGAGCGTTACAATGAGGCCGAGAAGCACGTCATTGTAGGCGGCTTGAACCTGGACAAGGAGTCCAAGGTTGCCTACCAAGACAAGGAGCAGATCACCATTCAGTACGGCCCCGACGCCAAGTTCGAGGCCGTCATCAAGTTCTCGCCATTCGGTGTCGACTTCAAGCGCGATGGCTCGTCCCACATCAAGTTCAACGACCAAGGTCTGTTCAACATGG